ACCTCTGTCTAATGAAAGAAAAGAATCAGGAGGATTCTTGTATTTAAAGTTAAGTGTCAGTTCTCAAAATGCTGCATTTCCTCTCATCTAACTCGTGAAAAACTGGCTTAAATCAATATATTTTTATTAGTAGTTAATCACATGTCCACTTGTATGTCAAAGTTGTCACTCACAGATAATTCTCTCCAACCCTGCAGCTCTACTGGGCTGTTTAGCCTCTTTTAGCTCCTACTTTTGCTTTTCTGGTATATTTACTGTATAGTTGATGTTGCCATGTTGTTTGGGAGCGTGATGTCCCAGGCAATGTCCCAGATGATATTGACTGACAGTGATACTTTTCTTCTTCTGTGGTTTGAGGCTGTCGTTCTGCTTGGAGGCTCAATTCATCTCCTCCCTCTGACAGTTTATATGGAACGATGTAGGAAGGTTCCCTCTGTTTTCATTCCTCCCTCTGTTATTTTCTCACCCCTTTCATTTTTTATTTTGTGTTTTTGGCCGAGCCTGCAGCGAGCGCATAAACAGAGACTCTGTGGTTCTGTCTCTCCCACGCAGATATGGAAATATAACGCAGCATCGTGAGCGACTGTCGCAGCACAGTCCTCCTGAAGACCAGGCCAGGCTCAGACTGTGTGATACTGTGTGAAATGGATGTGCAAATATTATGCAAATGCACGGAGAGCATATCACAGTTTCAGATGGAGGATCTCACCTCTGACTCCCTCCGTGAAGCAAAGGAAGAGGGAGGAGAGACTTTTATTAACAGCAAATCTCCGCTGAATCGGGGCGCCCTGGTAGCTCACCTGGCAGAGCACACGTACCATGTACAACTTTCAGTCCTTAACACAGTGGCCAGAGAGCCCACTGCCCTTTGCTGCATGTCATCTCCATATTTCCTGTTTCTCTTCATGTGTTACTATGAAATTAAGGCAAAAAAACCCTCCTCCAAATCAAGGACAGGACAGAAACTGATTATTTATCTATTCTTAGAGCCAGAACATGTCAGGTCAGTAGGTGAGATAACTCACACTGGGCAGAAATAAAATATTGTAATGCTATCGATTATTGTGTAACGCAGTGTACTGTTATCTATGATTATGTATGATTCATGTACAAACAAGATACATTTGTGATATTTCGTCTATATATTTTGGCTAAAATATCTGAATCAAATTGGATGGATAGTTTTTCCTCTAGTGGCATCAGTGAAAGCTTTTGGAAATGTTTGATATATGTTTGTATTGTTTTTATTCCTATATATTTGATCTGTTTTTAGAGAAGCAGGTGCACCACATGTAGAGGAGGCTTGTTAATGATGAAGGTTATTGAAATTATCAAACCCAATGTGGTACCGAATGACACCTGCACTGGTGTGTTCACTGTTCACTGTTGCTTTACCTGCTCCGTGCTTGTAAAATATCCACCATGTCACGTCTTGTAACTAGAGCTGGGCGATATGGCCAAAAATGTTATCACGATAAAACATTCATACCATTCGATATCGATAATTATCACGATAAATGTCAATTTATTTGTTTCAAATTTAAAGGAAGATTTTTGCTCCTGAGTGATAGTTGAAAAAAACAGTTAATTGTGGTTTCAACTTTTCTTTATGGTCAAAACGTTTGATGCCAAACAGCAGATCATTTAACAAATCTGGGGTAAAACATAAACAACGATTATGATAAAATCTTTTTTCAACAAATTTGATTAGTAAATCTTTTTTCAGTTCCTTTTCCTCAACAAAATAAACATCTTAATAGGAAAATTAAGTGCTACTTTGTCTGTAATTTAAAGGAATTAAATCAAACATTTATTGACGATATATTGAATATTTGTTATATTGTATATATATATATATATATATATATATATATATATATATATATATATATATATATATATATACATACATACATATATATATATATATATATATATATATATATATATATATATATATATATATATATATATATATATATATATATATATATATATATATATATATATACACTGTATATATATATTGTAATAATAATCATGACTTTTTTGCCCAGCCCTACTTGTAACGTAATACCAGATAACCTCTCTCTGTATTTCTCTGCAAAATGCTAAAATGGGTTGCCAAATATACCTGGACGGCCGTTACTATATCTGGACGGCCGTTAATATATCTGGACGGCCTGCCCAAATAAAGTCTGGTAAACACTGGACAGTGACCAAATATCTGAAAGACATTTCTAATGACATTGCCATCAGCCTCAGCTGTACTTTGTATTTAGTGCTACTAAGCAATTAAGAGCCTTTAGTGTGGCTTTAGCTTATTGTTATTCCGCACACATCCCCTCAACTTTTTGAACTTCTAAAATAAAAATAAAACCATGCTACTCTCATTAGACCCGACCATGGATTTGTACAACATGAGTGATCAATCACTCCCCTGGTGAGGTGAAACAGAAACATCTCATTGATGACATTGTTAACTATCACCACATAAAATATGTTTATTTTGCAGTGTGATGTTTTTCCCCAAATGTTAACTTTTCATGAAAGTGTATCAATTTGTTGTGACATTGTGCAGGCGGTATTTATTTCAGGCTGCAATAATCCATGACAGTAAAATTGTTTAAATCTGGGCAAATCCTCAAAAAAGGGCCTGCTGTTTTGGGCTTTTAACACCATCATTGTCAAAGTCATTGGTTGTCCTCCCTTTTTTGAATAATGATACAAGCTTAAGTTGCAACTTTGTATTAATATTCAGAAAATATTGCAACTGAATTATATGTAGGAGGTCACAGCAAAGAATGCGTGTCCTAAAATATCTAGTGCAACCTAGTATTACTTCCAATCAGTGTTGTTCATTAGTTCACATTACATCACTTTCACACAAATGTAAGCCTATGAAGTCCGTCGTGATCCACGCTTTAATTTAGCTGAACATACAAATCATACTGTCACAAGCCAAATGCTTTTTGTTGGTATCTTTCTCTCTAAGCAAATAATAGCCTAGCTTTAACGTGACTTTGGCCCCTTCCAGTGCATCTACAATGGAAATTGTTTTAAGAACCTATCCTTTACTGTATAACAAAAACATAGTCATATATTTTAGTTGCATTATCAGTACTGTACTGAGAACATTTTGCAAACAATAATTACTTTTACTAAACTGATATTTTCAATGCAGAGCTTTTTTAAATGTGATGTTTATATTGCAGTAATGATACTTTTACTTAAAGAGTGAACATCTTATCTTTACTGACCTCCGGTGGTTTTACTTCTCACCTTGCTGTAGTGATGCACAGGTGTACTCCAGGACCCTGCGACATCACTGTTGGGTAGGCCTGTTATACTATATTTGTGGGGTCCAAAAGAAAGGAGCCCACTAAACTTGTGGGGAGCAACATGCTGAACCCCACAAGTTTAAAGGGCTGTTTGGGGGTTAAGACTAGGTTTTAGGGTTATGGGTTAGGGGTTTGGGTTAGGGGTCAGGCACTTAGTTGTGATGGTTAATGTAAGAGTAAGGTGCTAGGGAATGCATCATGTCAAGATGAAGATAGTGAAACAAAGATTTGTGTGTTTACAGGTGCAATGAAGCACACTTCTGACCACACCCAACCACACACATCAGTGATACTGGTTGAGGTCAGAGGTGAAGGACTGTTTTTCATCCTGGTGTTAAGTTACTTTTAGGATCTGGATACCTCCTCCGCATCTGTCCCAGGGAGGGATGACACCAGAACCCCCAAGGCAGGTTCAGTTTCGGAACTGTTATCCTTTTAATCCCACTTGAGTTTGCATGCCTGCGTCTAGAATATTTTAATTTGATGAAATGGTGCAGCTGTAAAAACATGGCTTTAGGAGTTTGTATTATGTTATGCTTAACTGAGAACCTATTAAAGCCAACTCCTATATCTGAGTCTGGACTGCAGCTGAAGGTTGTGACAGCACACGTGAGCGGCAGCAGGGTGAGGAATCCTCTACATCATGAAAATCTGGCTATCCCACCCACGAGGCATCTCCAGCTAATTTTAGATAAGTGATGTTGTTGGGCCTTTCTGTCCTCATTAAGAGGCTGCGTTCTAGCACAAACACATGAATCATATAGTTCATCACTAATTTAACGCAGTGGAATTTCTTTGCTGCCATGCACAGAAACACGCCGCCTCAAGATACAGTTTGTCTGCACACGCAGAAGATGACGGGGCAACAGCTGGGATCAACTTTCTATGTCAACGTACTGCAAGAAACAGACGTCTGAAAACATTATCAATGAATTCAGCTCAGAGGGAGGATGAAGACAAATGTGAATATAAGAATATGTTTCCACCGCCACTGATGAAACACTTCATATTGACATCATTCTCCTGTACATCACATCTGTCTGTCTTCTCCAGGTTAAGGCTGCAGTTCTTCTCCACGTCTGCTGCATAAAGGCAGTTGTCATAGTGAGATTAGAAAGTGGGAAAAGGAGGTTTGTTTTGTGAGAAACGTTAATTACAATCACAGGGTGAGGAGTGCTCTATCACTGAGTCTGAAAAGCTCTTAAACCCAATTCTTAAACTGCAGTCCCATTACTGAAGAGAACACACATTTAATAGTTTCAGTGCACTGTCCAACACATCCACCCCGCTACTGTCACATACACACATACCATCACACCTGCTCTTTCGATGATTGCTATCTACCAGGTTTTCCACAGTAGCTTTACAACTTATGTTCATTTTACAAATGCTTTGTCTTTTTTATCTTTGGACAGGCTCTACTCTCACGGATCTGCTAAGAGATGTAAAACCTTTGGACACATCTGGCCCAACAAGAGTCAAAACATCTCTCTCTCAAAGAGAGCCAACAGAGTGTGTTTTTGCAGGCTTGTTAGCCAAAACAGCTGTTTCTTTGGCAGTGGTGACAAACCAAATGTTCACCATTTAGTCACATGAAACTACAGTACATCAGCAGGCTCACCATTCAAACAGAAACTTCATCTGACAGCCTTCTCTTACCTTGAACAGTCGCAGGATGTTGGCCACCATGATTGACACAGAGCTGGCCGACGCCCCGATGACACCCACCACTTTATCCGGCTTGGCGAAGATGGGTGGGTCACCGTTAGCACAGCGGACGTCAGAGCTGTCCCTCTCGATGAGTGCCTGGACGAAGGTGAGCGACTGCTCCAGGGCATAGGTGTCACGTGAACACGTGTCCAGGATGCGTGCCCCGAGCGTCACATTGGGCAGCAGCTCCGGGTCCTTGTTGATGAGGTCAATGGCGAACAGCATGGCTTCCAGACGGTGGATGCCCTTCTCCTTCTTCAGCTCGCCGCAGGGAACGCCTCTCTCGCCACGAGAGTGCACGGGGAACAAGCCGCCCAAGATGATGTCACCATCCAGCCGGATGGAGTGTGCGTACTCCTGCTGGGGCTGCTGGGAGTCTGCCAACACTGTGGGCTTCTGAGTGGCAGAGCCTAGCAGCCAGCAGCAGCTCTTCAGCATCAGCAGGGAAAGGAAGCAGTGACTTGAAACGCGCAGAAGATTTGAACCCCTCGCCATTTTGCAGTGAGTTGAGCTGCAGGGAAAAGGAGAAGTGATATGATCGCACAATCAACAGGCAGGTGGCTGCAGCAGTGGTGCGGGTGGTGTGGGGAGGACAGGTTGAGCCAGACCATGGAGTCCCCCGTCACCCAGGGCAGGGTCAACCACAGTGGGCGGTCCCACCTATGAACACTGACCCTAAGGGTTTCCTGCGGTACAGGTTCCTGTGTCGGGCATAGCTGTCTTAGGCAGCGGAGGAGGCAGAGCTTCAGGTTCTCAACAGCTACAATTTCATATTCTTCTAGAAACCTGTTGGAAAATTCAGACAGAGGAGGAAACAATCAATACATGATAAATAAACCAGAGATGCTTCAAGGAAAAATTCTGAGCACGTCACAGAGTTGCTGTCTCAGTCCTTACTCACCTATTCACACATAAATGTATACAGCGCTTTCATCAAAAGCATTTATTTTGCTGTTCATTCACCTATTCACGCACACACTCACCAGTTCACTGCCATTGGTGTGACAGTGAGCTACCACACAGGGTGAACCGCCTACCGAGTGATCAGTGGATGACCCGCTTTACCCCCTAAGCTATAGCCAGAGTATATACATAATACCAGAACTATCATTTGATTAAATATGCAGATGACACCACAGAGGTTAGTCGAACAAATGATAACATCAAGGAGTCCTACAGGGCCAGGGTGGAGGAGCTGAAACCACCTCCCTCTCAAGGTGTACAAAACCAAAGAGGTGATCATTAATCTCAGTCAGACACCACTGATGGTTTATCTGTTGAGGTAGTACATTGTTTTTCATTTCTAGGCGTACAGATCTCCAACAATTTAACTTGGGTATGATAACACTGACTGCAGGTTGAAAAAGATTGTCTTACATGCCTTAAGACTTTTGGCATGTCTACCAAGTCTTTGGTTCATTACACTATTGAAGGTTTTCTTACTAATTAACAGGTTGTATCTCATACACAAAACTATTACATCAAAAGTTTGTGGTGGAACCAACATTTTTATTTTTTGTTATCTGTTTTATCTGTTTTTTCCTGGCATGTTTGAGTCCTCCACCGACAGATGAACAACCAATAAAGATGGTCTCTACGGAGCCCCTAAAGTCCAGAAAGGTGATATATCTCCACCCTAATGCCTAAACCCTGAACCCTCACAGTCTTAGTTGACGTCACCTGGTGAGGGCTTCAGTGCAAGAGGCTGACAGGGCCCGAAATGGTTCAATGTGCCAGCACCGCATGCGCTCTTGCAATGTTACCATGACTACACTGAAGGGATCCACCAGCTCTTGCAGAGTAAATTCATTATTTCAAAATTACCTGGGGATAAGAGGTAATTTCCAAATAATCTATTTACTTGATTTTATCAAAACAGCATTATACACTTACATATAAACTTGTTTTTTTCTTGTAGCTGCCCCTTCGATGTTTTTTTATTACACTGGCTTCTCCGTGCAACTCTGTTTAATGTCATATCGCTATGAATTGTGAGTAATTCCCTCACGCAAAGTCTGCAGAGATGGGAACTTACGGAAAATGTGCATAAAGACCTCAAAATCCGTGATTGTGGAGATTGGGATTCTGCCTTTATCTTGTGCACCAGTCAGTATCTGTGTGAACAAGTTTGTTATGTTGTCGGTACAAAATTATGAACTTGTGGGAACAAGATAAATAACTTGTTCAAGCCAGCACGGAGCCAGGAAGCACCACAGTCGCAGGCAGTGAAAAAAGTTAATTTCAATGATGGATTACTAGTTGATGAAAACATCTCAGTTGAATAAACATGGCGGAACCAAAAAGACGGAAGACAGCGAGTGAATGCCGAAAATTTTGGAATTTGGCCCTTGATGTAAACAAAGTTTACGTCCCCCCGGCTGTAGAGGCTCAGTCTTGTTCACTTTTTCCCTTTCATCCACCAACATGCTCATCGCTTCAGCAAATGGTTTAGCTGCAAACTGTTCGGTCCAACTCTGCTTAAATTTACAGGTGTATTTAGATTTGACATTTTGACAACAGGCCTGTCCACCTGAGCAGAGAGCAGCTGCACACAAGCCTCTTGGATCAGGCTGTGGGTTAATCAGGCCGCAGTGACAGATGGGTTGAAATTGTATGTGGTGTGTTGGGATTGTGTTTCATAGACGACCTGGCAACTTGAGTGACGTCAGACAAACGGTCAAAACTTAGATGACTGTATAGCGAATATTCATGATAAAGTTTGAACGCCATGCTAATAATAAGAGGAGGTTGGCAGGTATGAATGTTTTGGTGACCCATCCATCCACCCAACCTCCTCTGTAGCAGACATTGTCGCTGTGTAAGGACAGCAAAGGAGAATCACATGCCTGACTCTATCTGATGAACAAATCTGTGTTTGGAGGATGACATATTAAACTTTCAGGTGTGGCTGGAAAGTCCAGGTGTCCACATACTTTTGGCCATGTATTTAACCAGATGGTGGTTAAACTGTGAGTTTTCAGCTCTTCTTTATACACTCTTTTTGCACGCACTCCTCATCCTCAGGCAAACACATTTATAATCAATGCCTCCCGCGCACGAAATTGCAGAGCCATCACCAAGATCAGCGCGCAAACACATGCACATCCGCGCGCACACAGACACACACCCTTAAAAGAGTACGCAGACAATGTTTGGTTTAGTTTGTCAAACGCACCCCGTGAACACACACACATGCACACGCACTTGCACGAGCTAATCAGCACGAGCTCAAGTTGCATTCCAGCAGAATCAGCTGAAAACAGAAAATCCGATCTGAAGCCGGCCAGAACAAAGAACCTGAGATCCATCCGGCAGTCTGAGTCCCTTGTTATTGATTGGTATGCTACTTATCGATTGACTGATTAATTAATTGATTAATTTTACTGGTAGATTTAGGCTACAGGATAACAATCTGGATGAGATTACATTGAAAGCTGGTATCTCCAACATGGTCCCATCCCAATAAATTAAGAATAACATAGATAAACACTGTTTTGTTGATGATATTAATAATGATCAGATTGAACACTGATTGATTTTAACCTGTTATATCTAGATTGTAAATGTTTTGCGATGTGTTCAGGTACCTTTTCTCTCCGCAGCAGGAGCAGGTGTTTCCTTTCTCAGTGTCACAGGTCAGATGTTTTCTGTCTCCAGCTGTTTGTCAAATTACACAAACATTTTTTGGCTAAATTCCTGCGCGGGGACTCGATCCGCTTGCGCATCAGCATCCATCAAACGAAAAATTTAATGAAATCCAAATCCACTTTTCAGTTATGGAGAGCAGCCGCGTTCCTGGCAGAGAAGCGATAATATCCTTTAAACAGAAGGTTTCTGACGCTCCGGATCACCTGCAGGTGTCGGTTCGACTCCCCGCCGCTCAGCAGGGGATGATGCTCCGGAGCCGCGGTCCTTGTCCTCCCACAGATAGTGATGTTCGCTCTCAGATCAGTGCGTCGTACTACAGTAAAGACATGTTCACTTTAGGGTCGAGTGGTTACAGAAGACCTAAGTCACGGACGCGCTTTTTTCCCCGCTCCGAAGTGCGCGGTGTGGTGCGGTGCGACTGTCCTGCGTCACAGGAAACACGAGAGGCTCTCGGGCTCATCACACCATGAAAGTCCAGGCTGATGAGAGTCTGAGGGTCTCATCAAGTTCCCCAGTCACAGAACCGGTCTCAGGTCTGAGAAGGGACCGCATGATCCTGGTCCTGACGGAGAGGAAAGTGCGAACACGTGAAACCAGAGAGGCGGAGTGTGCGGCGCGTGTAACAGATGAAGTTAATGAGCTTCATCAAGCTGCCTGTCAGAGCGAGAGAAGCTACTGGGAGTTAAAGCAGCAGACATGGAGGCAGGACGCCCCCGAGCGGACTAACACCGCAGCTACACACAAGCAGGTCATATTAAAGATATCCAAACTCCCACAAACAGTTGGTACACATCTCTCCTCCAGTCTGACCCTCAGCACTAGGGCTGGGCTGTGTTCTGAGTCCCATGTTCTTTATACACATTGGGCTGCGTTTCCACATATCCCACAAACACAATAATCAAATCTGCAGATGACACAACAGAGATGGAACTGGCTTACCAGATTGGTGCATGGAAAATAACCTTACTTAACATCAAAAAGACTAAAATAACTCATTATTGATTTCAAGAGACACAGAGGGGACCATGCTCCACTAACCATCAGGGGAGAAGAAGTGGAGAGGGTATTTAGAAGTTTCTGGGGACTTAGCTACATCAGTGAGGACCTCGCATGGACAATTAACTCCTTTGCCCTGGTTAAAAAGGCTCAATAGCGGCTCTACTTCTTACAGACACTGGGAAATTACACACTATCTGCGGAACTGCTCAGGGACTTTTACCACTGCTCCGTTGAAAGTGTTTTAGTATATTGTCTAACTGCTTTGTATGTGAATTGTCAGACTGCAAAAGTCTCCAGAGAGTCATAAACAAAAACACATTAGGCTATATTTTATACACTGCACCAAAAATAAATGCTCCAGCATTTAGTAACAATCCCCATCAATATGTTAAAAAATTTGCAAGAAAACATTTGATTTGATTTGAAAACCAGAGTGAATGGCTTAACTTCCCTACTGGGAATATTTTTACGCTGGTCTATGCCCCAGCAGACCGGGTTCGAGCCAAATTGTGACAGTGACCCCAATAACTTCCCTGCTTCCAAAGGTTCCCATAAAACCAGGTAATCAATTCTGTTGATTTTTTGTGATAAACATACATTGCAAACAGGTACATGTAAGCTATGCTAATGGTTGGTAGAAAGAGTACACCACTCTGTAACATTTTAATCTTTAAAAAGCTAGAATATTGAGTCTTTTGCTGTTCAAAAAGAACAACAGAGTGATGAGTCTGCAAATCAGTAAACAATCTAGCATTAGCTGACTGTGCTGCTCAAGTCATTTTCCAGCCTACGTTGTAGCTTGATAGTTGTTGAGTACTGACTAACAGCTACTGCTAAGCAAAAGTCAATAATACTTAGAATCCCACATTTATACTTTTAAGTACATCACATCAATATCTTAATTATTGGGCTCCAGAGACATTCAGAGCTGAGTTGCTGCTCTTTTTGTCTGTCTGTGGAACCTCATCTTTAGCTAATGTAACAGCTCAGCAGCTAAAGTGAGACAGAGCTGCCAATAAGGTCAATGATGATATTTGATATCAGATGTTACCAGTCATTTGTCATTCTTACCTTGGGTGGACCAAAGTACACAACTACACAGCAGCTTTGCAATATAATGATTAAATTACATTAAAGAATCTAAGTCATAATAATGACACTAAATGTGAGCTACAGTAATTGTGTTCTCACTTTCTTTGTGCAGATACATTTTAGTTCTTTGAAGGTTACTTTCAGCAAAATATTAAAAAATTTTGTCAGTCCCCCCCCATGACCCTGTACACAGGATAAGAGGTTGACGATGAGTTGGTGAGTGTGAATATTTGTCAGTGACAGCTGTTGTGAAACAAATAGGTGTACACATCACCCTGTTTCGTCATCAATTTTACACTTACTATTTTGTTTACAATCTCTACATCCAATATAAATTATATAATTTTAAAATAATTGTGGCACTCAGTGGGTGTAAAGTTTTCAGAGTATATTATGCCCCACCTCCACCCCCACCGGATGGAGTACTGATCCCCTAGAAAGCTACTACCGAGGTCTTCCAACACAAGCTCAAGCACTGATAAAACTCTTGACATAAAAAACTAAACTTAAATGAACTTATTTATATATCCTGATATATTACAGTCAGTGACTAAAAGGGCTTTAGGGGCCCACATCAGCAATAACTCCTGACACAGCTTGAGCGGTCAAAGAACTTGTGTTATCAGCAGGAGCTAAAGTGAGACAGAGAGCTGCCAACAGGATCAATTTAGATTATGTCTGATATCTTCAGCTTTTACTGTCATACGTGATTTATTAGCAATGTCATTATTATTGTAAGTGGGCAACTACACAGCAATCATGCCCTTAAAGTTGACTTTACGCAAAATACTAATTAAAGTGAGGAGCCAGTGTTAACAGCAGCAGCTAAAATTTCACCTAATAATTCAAAAAGCTCAGCTGCATTTTGATCGTAAACACAAAACTCTGTAAAGATCTTCCTCTTGTGTGTTGGTTTATTTCACTTCCTGTCTCTGTGTTTTTTCATATCTGGTTTTGTTCTGCTTCCTGTTTTACTTTATGAATTTTCCTCTCCTCTCTCATTTCTAGTCACCTTCCTTCCTGCTCTGGTATTTTCCCACTGGTTTGATTGTTTTACTCTTTGTCCCTCGTTCATCACCTCCCTCTTGTGCATATGAGTCTGTGTCTTCTCTTTGTATGGTGTCGTTCATCTTTTTCGTTGTCTGGTCAAGCATCCAAGCCCTTCCTTCAAGTTTCCTGTGTGTTTCCATGTGTTTGGATTACCTGTGCATTATTTTCTTTGAAGTATTTGAGGAAAATGTCATTTTGAAACAAACTAAAAGACTTCTGAACAAATGTCTGTACTGAAATAAAAATCCAAACAAAAATATCCAATAAAATTCTGGCTCATTTCAACACAAATTATAATTTTTTTAATGTATTTTATGTGATTTTAAGGGGATTTTATATTTTCCTTAAGATTGAAAACAAAACTAGTAACATGATGAATAAAATATATCCAATATTACAGACATACATCAGCAACAGGTCCTTACTCAATGTGTTTTCTACTTTAACTTGGAAGAAACTTCAGAAAAGGCAATTCAAAGAGAGATCCCCTCTCCACAGATGATTGGGAGGGGACACGAGAACTGGAGACGAGTTCTTTACACTGTACAGCCTGTCCTTTTCAGTGGGGTGGATGCTGGAGGTTATCATTCTGATGGTTTCTGCCCCCCTCCCTTTGTCCTTCTCTGACCATCTACCAAAACCACAGATGAAACCAGTGGGTCTCCTTCTGATGTCTCTCTACCATCTCTGCATTAATCATATCTCCCATGCTCCTGATGATCACCCCCGTGTCTTTACAGTTCTTGATGTTTGCAGCCCGCAGCTTATCATGGAGGATCTCGACCTCCTGCATCTTTGACGTGAGCTTGGCGTACATGCTCAGCACCGTGGTGTTCAGCCCCTGCTCCCCTTCCTCAGCTATGAGCCGCTGAGACTTTTCGCATTGGAGCTTTCTCCTGAGCTCCTGAACTTCCCGTTGCAGCAAATCATGTCTGTCTGCTCGCAGGTCCTCCATTTGCTGGTGCAAGTCTTTGTTGTGTTCATTGAGGGCCTGGATTTTTTGGCAGAGTGCCCAGTTGTATTGGCAGATCGCCTTGTTGTGTTTGCAGACTGCCATGTTTTGTCTGCGGAGAATGTTGTTGCGCCATCGAAGGACAGAGATTTTATTCCTCAATTCCTCCAGATTGTCCATGTGCCCCTAGTCACTCATTTTCTGTCTTTAAACTCTGTCTGTGCTGCTCTTCTGTGTTTCTAAATGTGAAATGATGAAAATCTCACCGTCAGCTGAAGAATTCTAGTGATGTCATAATACAGAATGATGTCTATGATGATTTAACGCATTCTACACTAAATTTCTTAATCAGGAGAACGGTACCGGAAATGGTTTCCAGTATTTTGGCTTACACATGCATTCGCCAGTGTGTTTATAATCTTTTCATTGCTCAAAATTGTTGACACTGGACACTGTCTTGCTGATTCACTCAGCGTCAGTGTCACACTTCACACCAAAAACAAAAGATGGCCCCATGTGGTAATGACGTCAGATTTCATTCAATATATTCAGATGGATCATCTGCATATATATATAATTTCCTAAACGGCATTACATAATATATATACATATATATGTATGTTTGTGTTGATATCTGTAAGAACCCCAAAGCCTACAGAGACAGTGCTGTTATACTGCCATCCATTTTTTTTGTTTGTTTTAGAAATGTACAGTTGTCATGGTACAGTATGCAGATCTCTGTTACTGGTGTGATAATAAGGGTGCAACAGGGTTTCTACCGCCATACAGATTCATTGTCAGGAAGGCCAACATCTTCCTCTAGGTGTCCTCCTGAGCACGACAATGAGGTCTCATCTCTCCACCCCAGAGAACCATTGCTGCAGTGACAACAGCCAAGAGACACAATCAGGTAATGCTCAGTGGACAGTGAATATGTGGAGCTGGTGGCTAGAAATGAGATCAGGGTCACTTCAGGACAAAAATACACCAACACAAGCCTAATGTAGAAAACTGTATGGTTGATTACATGATGCACTTTAGACTGAGAAGCAAGATGGAGATAAAGGCTAGGCAAGGCATTTTTATTAAAGATTGGGTACCTAAAACTACAAACCGCAGTTATAAAAGCACCATAGAATCTGACTGACACAATGTAAATACCAATTATAACATTTATTCATTTTAGCTGACGCTTTTATCCAAAGCAACTTACACCTGCTATATATGTAAGAGGTCGCACGCCTCTGGAGCAACAAGGGGTTAAGTCTCTTGCTCAGGGACACATTGGTGTGTCACAGTGGATTCGAACCCGGGTCTCTCACACCAAAGGCATGTGTCTCATCCATTGCGCAATCACCACTCCTAAGCATACAACAATTATATAAATACAGTATATCATTATATTATATTGTACACGTGTTTCTCTTATATTGTTCTACACATTTTGATCAATCCTCAAGGTGAATTTGGTGGGCTGGGGGAACTTTGCCCCAGGTGTTGGAGATAGTCCAGGATGCTTCCAACTCAAAAATGTGGGAAGCGGCAGTGTCTTGCCCTTCATCAGAGGTGGAAAAGCTAACCATTTACCAAGGTAACAAGTCAGTCCTCACGCCTTATCTCTTGTAAAAGCAAAACACCCACTGTCAACCACAGTTGTAGTAGTTGTAGTGTAACTTCCCCAAATCCATTAAAAAGCAACGCACAGCCAATCCACGAAACTCTCCTATGGGAAACATGCTTTGTCTGCCATCTGAAAGACAGGACTCCCATTGTATAAACCTATGTGACTGGGATAAGAAGATTATAATCGGGAACATTTTCAAGACATACACATACTTCACCCAGAATTTCAGCTTTTACCCTCTGGTAGAAGATTCAGGGTTCCTAAATGCAGGCTAAACCGATATAAACACTCATTTGTCGTGTCCATTATGCTACAACACTAACAACTAACAATACTAACATGGAGGCTAGTTGGGTTGCGCACTTTGTCATTGTGCAATAAATAAGCTATTGGGGTTTTGCAATATGTTAGTGGTGCAACACATAGGCTGTTGGATTATTCAATATGTCCTGTGTATTGCATAGATTATGTGAAATGTGTCATATGTACAATACATAGGCTATTGGGATTGTGGAATATGTTAATTGTGCAATACATATGCTATTAGGGGTGCGCAATATCTCATTGTATAAGGGCTGTGCTACATTTGTGGGCAATGCAGCCAATAGGGTTGTTCAATCAAAAACTGCCACTGGAAGAATCTTATCTTAGATTATTGATGACTCTGCACACACTCAAAAAATAATTGTTTAAAAAAAAATGGTATTAAAAGGCTGAGGCTGGAAAAATGTTTGAGGTGGAACAATGTGCACTGCAAAAAGATAGGACTAGCAGATCATTTATGACTTAACTGCACAATTATAAAATTAAACATTGATTGAATAAAAACACATAGTTTGCCAAAATCTTCACATTAACTGATTTCCACAGTGAGTCAGTTTGACCATTTAAGCAAAATGAACCTGTATGTTTGTCTTTTCTAGCTGATTTTTTACCAGTCAGTCAGGATAGCTGACCAAGTCTGAAGTCTTGATTTTGGACACACTGACCATGAATCCTTCATGTCGGTGCCAGTTTACACCTTCCCATGAACTTACCTCTCTCCGATGTTATGGATTTGAACATGCTGGTTCGAGGGTGGCCAGCAGGTGGCTGTTCCCTGCATGTTTCGTCATCTCTTTTACCTGCTAAAATCTTAAAAACAATACACATATTTTTCAGATAGAGTCATACAATATTCACACACTTTGTTGATTTTTCATCCTTCACTCCCTCTCATTTCTCTACTAACCATTTACTTTCTATCACATTTTGCTTTAGCCCTGCACTGCACCCCAACAAGATCAGTTAAAAGCAGGCAAAATGTTATTTACATAGCACGTGTTTTTATGCAAACCAGTGGGGTAGGTAATGCGATTAAGAGACACATATAAATGTTTGCATCAACCTGGGACAAGAAGCATCTGACTCTGGATATATTTCTACATTTTAAAGGGCATTTTTTTGTTTTGTTGGGGATTTGGTTCTGCAAAACAAGTCAGCATCAAGAACATCTCTCATAGAACATAAGTTGTAGGACAATTCAACAGTTTTCGTCTCTTATGCATTCAACCAGTGATTTAAAGCCTAACTCTGAATCAGATCAATCTGTTTTGTTTTATTTCTCTCAATGTTCTTACACAGGAACATCTATAACAGCTAAGAACAAGGACAAGAACGCTGGACACAAAGAGGAAAGGAGAGACAGAACTACTATGTACACAAGTATGCGGAAAGAAATAGGTGTACATAAAAATATATATGTTAAAAAAGCCCCGAAGAACAACAACATAAATAAAATGTCTATAAACAAGTAAAGTGTTTCTGTGAGTTGTAAATAATAAAGAAACATTGAATGGATACATATACATATTCAGTTTATATGAAACTGTACATGTTTAAATTTCCACTCCACTTTTTAAACCAACACAGACAAGAAGTCGTCATGACAACTGGGCAACTCTAGCTTTGAAGGAAGATTATGTGATACAACCAAAAGCCCCACAGCAGCTATGGACCTTGTGGTGAGACTGTTTTGTGAAATGCTTTGTTTGGCAAAACACAGAAAACATCCCCACCCAGTAGCCACATCTTGGCCAGGACATCCTTGTAAAAGAGATTAAAAATCTCAATGGATTTCTTTCCTGGTAAAATAAAAGTTAAATAAAAACCCACACTTCACTCTATTTCTGTTTTCAACTCAGTGTCCGTCCTCCTGCTTCCTTACATGACTTGAAACCTCTGGATTGTGATGTTTTATTCACACAGAATTTTGTCATGTCAGTAAACTCACCTCCTGTGCAGACTCGTATGATCAGTTTTGATCGTCCTCCCCTGCAGCCGACAACAGAGGACACTGGAGTCGTCCCACCTGCTCAGAAACACAAACAGCAGCAGAATTTCACATTTCTACACCTGCATACAGATTTATTTAAATATAAATGAATACTAACACAATGATAACATATTCAATGGTAAACTACAAACACTTGTACAGAAAAGTTTAGATGGAGAGGATTCCATCGGGTCAGCATAAGCCTAGAAGGCAGAGTTGCAGGCTTGGAGTTGAAGAGGCCAGGGTGCTGCTGAGAAAATGGAGAAAAAGGGGAAAAGGCTCAGTCACTATGATTATGATCATTTTTCATTGATCGGGCCAAATATCCTAGCCTACTGTTTCCATCATAATGGAACCAGAATGTTTACTGCTTACCTGGCAGGGATTATTTAAAGTAAGATATCTCTTTATTAATCCCCAGTAGGGAAAATTCAAGTTGGCACAGCGGCACAGAGAAATGTAAAAAGAGCAAAATACAATAAGAGAAGAATCCTTGACATCCTACGTAGACATATTAATGTATACACACTAATCAGTTTACAATTATGTACAATCAAATACTGCTGAGCTGAATGTAGACTATAGAAGTGATTGGTAGGCTTATTCCAGTTGTAGAGTGAATTACCAAATGTTGTTAAATCCGTAAAATCTCTCAACTAAATGATTTCAAGTGAGCTTGTAACTTAAGGTGGGCTAACGTTACTCACCTAACTTACCACAGTGAACATAAAGTAAGCAAACTGTAGGTTACAGGGGCTCTGCACAGCAGTCTTACATGGAGATGACAAACATGAACCTGATACTGAATCAGGACCATTAAATAAATAAGTAAAGATTCTCCACTTTATCTTTCACCTGGTGGTTGAAACGCGGCCACATCCATCTCCTTGTTGTCTCCTACAGATGAGGATGACACTCTGTAGTGTAGTGGCTATCCTGTGAACTCATGAGAGGGAATGTCGCTGGCACCAACTGCTGGTAAACTGCCCTCATACAGATCTATCTTTTTACAGATCTCAGCGGTACACATTGGACAAAATTCCCCAGATGCGTAAATGGTAAGTCAAGATGCAAGGTGACCCACAAAACGACAGGAAGTGGTCAACAAATATGCAAAATCTGATTTGTGTGCAGAAATGGATGCACAGATTGTAAATATCAGAGGTGTGGACTCGAGTACCTATAACGGATTGTGTAGAAGGCCCACAACACTCATTTTGTTTTATAAATCCAGAGCACCCCTTTCCGTCACAGCTGAGGCTAGTGCCTCCCTAAAAGGTGTGTTCAGTGTTGCTTACCTTCTTGTAAAATATCCACTGTGTCTGCGTCTTCTAACGTCATAGCGATTTATAGTTTTCTCACCGCTGGTTTCTGTCACTGCATCTCCCGACAAAACAACACGGTTTTATTTCAGTGTTCTGTAACGTAACTTCGTCAACTCGAATAGTTCACCTGTCACCTGCTGTGCTGCCCTCCGTGGACACACACACACACACACACACACACACACACACACACACACACACACACACACAGAGCCCCCTCAGTGACCCATCCGTCATCCAAAGCTGTCAACTTGGGGGAAACTGTGCTGCTGTCTTCCTCTTGCACACTAGATGCTGCTTAAAGTTAATAATGTTGGATTATTGTTTCTTATTTCATGGGCTATATGGGATTTTGGAGTAATGCATATATAGTAGCCTAGTTTTTAGAAAGAAAGTACATTTCGAGAGTTAATGTTTCCTGAGACAATGAGTAATCCTGTTAAATAATTGTGATCTCAATATTGACCAAAATAATTTGCAGCCCTACATGAACATTTAATTTAATTCATGAAATTTGTTTTCTGAAACTACGCCTCTGCCGTCTTTCTGTACAGGCTAATGCTTCATTCAATACATTGTTTTATTTTTAACTTGAAAAAACGTTTGAAATGGTTTTTAAATTTGGTGAAGAGCGCATTATGACTTGTTTAGGACTCGAAACTCAAAGTTTAAGACCTGGACTTGACTTGGACTTGTTGGTCCTTGACTTGAGACTTGATTCAGACTTGCCACTCATGATCGGTCTGGACTTGGGACTAAAATGATGACTTGGTCCCACCTCTGGTAAATATCACATTGTGTGAAAATAAAATAAATGTGGAGTATGGGCGACCTCGAATAGTCGAAGATTCGATGCTTCTCACCGTGGTAACTTCGCAAAGGCGAAGCGAGGATCATGCCATTTTGGCTATATGGGGGTGCTCAATGTTTGATTTTACATAGAACTAGGTTTTCTCCCAAAAAGTTATTATACAGCCTAATATGATATAAATATGAACATAAAATTCTGTGAATAAAGATATGAAAAGAAAGAAAGGGGGTTAGTGTGTGTGTGTGTGTGTGTGTGTGTGTGTGTGTGTGTGTGTGTGTGTGTGTGTGTGTGTGCTAGAAGACGAAGAGAGACAAAGCACCAGCTGAGCCGGTGCTGGCACAGCTGGTGCTTTGTCAAGCAGCGCTGCAGATTCTCAATATTAATGCGGAGTTACCATGTGTAACATGTAAAGACTATGTTGTGTGTACCCCTCACTCTGTATTTTTGTGGATGTGGTTTTACACCACACAAATGTAAAAATACATGTTTGTAGGTAGTGAGATATTTGTGTAGTTTTTCTACAGAGTTTGTGGATAGGAAATTATTTGTGGATCATAGTAGACATTTGTGGATTGTGTTCTGTGGTTTATTATTGCTAAGTCCAATAAAATCATCGAAAACAATGTACCAGTACAGTATATACCATTACATACATGTTTAATTGTTAATTTTTTTTTTTGTTTAATTGTTTGTTTTGTAGAGACTGGGTGTGCCCTGTGTTCCTGAAGATAGAAATACAATACAGACATACAGTCAGAAATCATTTTGCGATAAAAATAAACAAAAAATCAAGTAAGCTAAGCAGGTACACAAATGAGAGATATACATACATGAGGATGAAGTAGTAACACACTTAGCAGTACAATGAAACAACAATAACTTCCAGCAACCCCAAGTTTCTTTTCTCTACAATAAAGAAACTCCTCAACATCCCCAATAACATCTTTGCAACCTTCACAGTGGACAAATGCAACTCCTTCCAGTCTTTCTTTCAATCTAGAATTGACACTATCTACAGCAACTTCACTACTTCCCCTGTCCCCTCAACCCCCCCACCCGGACCCACTCTCAGTCACTGCCTTGTTTCTCACCTCTGTCCCCTTTAGAACTGTTACAAAATGAATGAAAAAGAAAATGAAGCTGCAGTCCCATCATCCATAATCAAGACCTGCCTTCCATCCATCACCCCACTCATCATCAAAATCATTAATTCCTCCCTCACATCTGGATCAGTCCCCACAACACAAGTTGCAGCTGTTCCCCCCATCCTCGAGAAACGTGGTCTCAACCCCGACATCATGTCCATTTTCCGACCCATCACCAATCTCCCCTTCCTATCAAAAATGCTAGAACGTGTTGTCGCTGCTCAAATTCAAACCCACCTCACCACTAACAACCTGTTCGAACCATTTCAATCTGGATTTGCTCACAACACAGCACTGAAACAGCCCTCCTCAAAATAACCAATGACCTCCTCCGGTCACATCACCATCCTAATCATGCTCGACCTCACTGCAGCCTTTGACACCATCAACCACTCCACTCTTCTTTCCCGACTGGAAACCTACTCCAATATTACTGGCACTGCACTCTTCTGGCTCCGCTCCTACCTCACCAACAGACAACAGTTAATCAACATCCATAACTGCATCTCCTCCACTGCTCCTTTGGCACAAGGTGTCCCCCAAAATCCTAAATGTCAATGCCCAATCCTAATTCCTAAATGCCCATTCCTAAATCATAAATGCCCCATCCTAATTTCTAATTGCCCATTACTAAATCCTTAATACCAATGTCCAATCCTAAATCCTAAATACCAATGCCCAATCCTAAATCCTAAATCCTAAATACCAATGCCCAATCCTAAATCCTAAATGTCAATGCCCAATCCTAAATCCTAAATGTCAATGCCCAATCCTAAATCCTAAATGTCAATGCCCAATCCTAAATCCTAAATGTCAATGCCCAATCCTAAATCCTAAATCCTAAATACCAATGCCCAATCCTAAATCCTAAATGCCAATGCACAAGCCTAATTCCTAAATGCATGATCCTAAATGCCCTATCCTAAATCCTAATTCTCCTATCCTAAATCCTAAATAGCCTTTCTTAAATCCTAAATGCTCTATTCTAAATCCTAAATGCCAAATTCTAATTCCTAAATGCCATTATTCTTTGCTTGGACATGTCTCACCATGGACATTACAAGTTCTATTTGGTGAAAAATGTTATGAAGCCTCCTCAGCATGTAGCGGAGATTAAACTAACTTTTCTAAATTAAGTAGGCAGAAAGCTCTTGTAGCCACAAAGAGTCTTCACTTTTCCAGCAAAGGAAAATCGACGAGAAGAGAGAGAGAGAGATCCCAGAACAACCAGTGGTCCAGCACACACAAGACTGTGGTAGCCATTGGATGTCTGGATCCATAATAATCATTTCTGCCTATAAAAATTTCAGACAATAAAATTTCAGACAGGTAAAACGCTGTAATTCCATTTCTATAGCACTATAAAAAGCATTTGTCACAAAGACACATACACTTTACAATTTTAAAGACTTTCCCAATGCATCTTTCTTTCTTCTGTCTATCCCACTTACTGGCATGTCCCTTTATAGTAATTCCCTCATATGTACCTGTTTAATGTGTCTGCTGATGTTCAGCATAATCTACCTCATGCTCGTCTGGTGCCTTGTGGTTGTGCATGGTAGAACTACTATTTAAAACAGCAAGTACCATATATATATATATATATATATATATATATATACACACTTTCTATTCTAATAATTTCAATTCTAAACATCCGACTGAATTGTTAACTTTCATCTCTCACTGAAAGAAAATGCACTAAGACGGCTGAACACATCAGTATAAGTGTGCGGAATCTGTATCTTCTTCTGAATTTGATTCTGAATACGTCTTTTTTCACATGGGTACATTTGTCTGCATCTTTGCAAAAGTATATAATCATTAGTTGTCGCCTTTGTTAGAGATGGGAAATTGCGGTTGCAGTAGGTTTGTGCCGCCATACAGATTCTCCCTCAAAAAGACCAGCGTCTTCCTCCAGGCATCTTCCTGAGCACGAGAATGTGCCACCATCTCTCCGCCCCACAGAGCCATAACTGCAAAAACAACAGGAAACTGAAATGTAAAACGTCCTGACTTTGAAGAGTTCCTGTCACCATCAACAGCTTCCCAGTCTGAAGTTGAACCTACATGGCACACGTGTGTCAACTGTTTTGAATGTGCTGGCTCGGACGTGTGGGGTGTATGGAGGTTCTATCAGGTGACCTGCGTTCGGGTACGACAGGACAGTCAGCAGGTGGCTATTTCCCGCCCTCTCCATCATCTCCCTAATCTGGAAACAGGAAGAAAAAAAATCTCATATTTGTCAGATGGTTTCATGATGTGTTTCTATTTTTTTAATTTGGTCAGATGATTTGTACATTTGCAAAAACAGTATTTCTAGTAGTGTAAGTAATCTTTGCAGAACAGACACTTTTTCAAGACCAAAAGACCTAAATTAGTCTTTTGAAGTATGGAAATGAATTCAAACCTGCCTTTAATCTGGAAAACATCTTCTTTGACAGCCAGAAGCCTAAAAACTCTAGGAACTATGGAAAATGACAATTTGATTCGACTCATAAGTTAAGTCACTAAATGTTGTTTAATAATAACACGATAAACTTATTTTTACTGTCTTAGTCTTTTAGTTAATATTGACCATTCTAGAATTCCATTTATCCCAGTAACTGTCTCTCAGCAATCACTAAAGATTAATGCTTTTGTCGTCCTACGACTTCAAACCTCTTGATCAATTTTGTTATTCATACAAGATGTTATCTTGTCAGTAAACGTACGTCCTGTGCAGACTCAGAGGCGGGCCAGTTCTGATCGTCCTCACCAACAACCAGCAACAGAGGACGCTTGAGTCGTCCCACCTGTCCGAGACAAACAGCAGCAGCATTTCAGCTTTTAGCACTGGCTGCAGATTTAAATATTTATTAATCACCTGTGGAATAATGTATGTGTGATTTTTAAGACATTATCAAACCTTTATATGAAGCAAGCTTATGTTAGAGACCAGCATTTATTTCTAAATCCTGTTTGATTAAGTATATTTGCTCATGAAGCCTCCATGTTTTCTGATCTGCTCCCATTTGCCCAGCCAATGTTTTGTTACTGTATTATGCTATGTTAATACAAATTCAACACTTACAGTATCAATGTCAAATGTTGAAAATAACATCACTTGAATAAGTTAACATGAATAAGAAAAAAATATTCTACTCATCAACTTTTGTTTATAAAATGTCTCAGCTCAAAATGTTTTTAATCTAACATACCACCTAACATCAGCTGTGGAATTAGTTGCCTTTATCTGTGGACTTTGGAGTTGTTCCCTCAGTTTTTGTAAACTTGAAAGTAAAATAATCTAAAATGAGCGATGCTGCTGTTTAGTCTCAAAACTCTACAAATAAATTCCACTGGTAGTCCATGTGAAAAAGTTAGCTGCTTTCTTGTAAGAAAAAAAAATGTGCGGCACCTGGTAGATGCCACGTTCCCAATTAAATTCTTGCTGGGAAATACTGAACTTCCAAATAAAAGCATAAATGCTATTAAAACAAAAGACACTTGTCTTTAAGATCAAACACACAATAACAAAACTGAAAAATTAAAAACTACACAGAGAGATTCTGGCTGGTGGTACTCACGTCCACTTTGAGTACAGGGTCAGTGGGAATAGGCAACAGCAGATATCGGCAGATCATTTCGTTCTCCTCATTGATGTGAATCTTTCCAGCATTTCTAATTGGGCCAAAAAAAAAGACTTATTCATCTTCCCCAATTCTGACTGACGATTACTCGACTTGGACACACACACACAGGTCATAAAATGTGATCTGATCTTCATATAAGTCACAACAATAGACAAACACAGTCTGCTTGAATTAATTCCACATTAACAATTATATGTTTTCATGTTTTTATTGAACACACTATGTAAACATTCATACCTTGATCAAAAGAGCTCAGAAGAATTGTTGACTTGCATGAGAATGGAAAGGGTTACAAAAATATCTCTAAAAGCCTTGATGTTGTTAGTCCACAGTAAGACAAATTGTCTATGGAGAAAGTTCAGCAATGTTGCTACTCTCCCTAGGAGTGGCCGTCCTGCAAAGATGACTGCATGAGCACAGTGAACAATGCTCAATGAGGTTAAGAAGAATCCTACAGTGTCAGCTGAAGACACACAGAAATCTCTGGAACATGCTAACATCTCTGTTGACGACTCTGCGATTCGTAAAACATTAAACAAGAACGGAGTTCATGGGAGTACACCAAAGAGGAAACCACTGCTGTCCAAAAAAAACTTTGCTGCACATCTAAAGTTTGCAAAAGAGCACCTGGATGTTCCACCCCACTACTGGCACAATATTCTGTGGACCGATGAAACCAAAGTTGAGTTGTTTGGAAGGAACACACAGCCCCAGGGTGCAAATTATACAGTGACAACCAGGGGAGCATGCAGCATTCAGCAAATTAAAATCTTATATAGCTTCATTAACATTACGATTGTTATCATTAACACTACTATACATATCTGTACCATTTTTCATTTAGTCAATAGCAACATCACCTTGTCACCACTGTCTGTACCTCTGTGTGTATATTGTGTAGGCTGCTTCCCTCCCCTCTCTCTCTCTCTCTCTCCCTCTCTCTCCTTCACCCCAACCGGTCGAGGCAGATGGCCGCCCACCCTGAGCCATGGTTCTGCTCGAGGTTTCTGCCTCTTAAAAGGAAGTTTTTCCTTGCCTCTGTCGCCTAGTGCTGCTCTTGGTGGGAACTGTTGGGCTTCTGTAAATAACATCACAGAGTACGGTCTAGACCTGCTCTTTTATGAAAAGCGCTCTGAGATAACTGTTGTTGTGATTTGGCGCTATATAAATAAAATTGAATTGAATTGAAATTGAATTGAACAATATGCTTGCTTATTTAACTAATGTCAGCGGTCTGTAGATGATGATGAATCAAATTCATTACACCAGTTCATCAGTGTCCCATACCACACAACAACTTTTGTAGTCAGAGGTCACCAAGTCTTCTAGTGAAGAACTGCCAGAAACACAGACCCACACAATAATCTGCATTCAATACATTTTTAGAGAATTTGGAATTTTTGGGTCTTTGTAAATAATAAACAGAGTACGGTCTAGACCAGGGCCCATATTTATCAAGCTTCTCAGAATTACTCTAATATATAATAAGAACAATAAGAACACTGCTAAGAATTGAATTAAGAGTAAAAAAAAATGGCTCAAAGCTGTGCTTAAAAGTTAGTTATCAAGCATCATAGTCCTAATTTGAGTGAAGTGTATGACTAAATCTTAAGTGTCAGTCTGAGAGCTGATTTACGACACTTTGCTGTGCCACAAACAGGAGTTTGGATGATGATGTGGGCAAGAACCAATCACTAAATAGATTTTTTAGACTTTATTTAAGAATATTCTCAGATAAAATCACATTGATTGGTGAAATTTCTGTGAGTTTACATTCAACACACATTTGACAATTAAGAATTTTTAAGAGAATATATTATGTACATAGGCTACATGCAAGTTGATCTTTATGTGAGAGCCATCAATTGCCCTTGCTACTCTTGGGAAGACGGCTATTTGCAAAAAATTGAGTTTAGTTCTGTCGGATTACAGGGGGTGTTGTCGGGAAGTCGATGATGAAACGCTTGACAATATGTGGAGCTGTAAGTCCCATAATTTTTTCCATGACAATTCAGCTTATTGATGGTTGTGATGGACCAAAATCATCAGCATTGCTGCATTTTTCCTTTGGCAAATAAACAAAGTATCACAACCTTCAATTTAGCTGAAAACGTATTGCTGCATAAAGTCAGTGGTGAGATGACGTCCCTCACCAACTCGCTGACAAAGATGATGCCCTCTCTGTCCAAACGATACTGTATAATTAATTGTGTGTAGTCAAATAATTCAGAAATATTGTACCTCTCCTGAAAGATTTGCGCATGTCCCTGTCTCCACAGTTCCATCATTGTCTTTCTAGTTTAATTAGCTACGTTACCTGAGTTGTAGTTAGCCAGGTGTAGTTAGCTAGCATAGTTATTGCAGAAAGTTGGCAATCACTTTCTTTTTTAGTTTCCTCCTCACGGTTTAGTGTGCTGTTCGGTGTTGGAGGACAGATGACAGAAAATGTTTCGCACTTTCACCTGCCACCGTCTTATATACAGTCTGCAACATGCATTTTACTGACGGCCGTTTTACCAATGCATCGGTGGAGGCAATGGTATCAGAAGTCTTTACATACAGTTCAACAGAGTAACAGACCCCCAACCCCCACGGTAAAGTAAGCACACCATAAAATGTAGTGGGAGTTATCGTGTGCAGTCCGTGACAGGACCATGATCATGATCATGACGACTGATAACAGTTGATACGTGCACATTAGTTTCTATCATGGGTAAGTACTAGCTACTCCTGCCAGATAGTAAAGAGGACTAAACTTTACAGTGTAGCGATTTTAACACAGCATATCGTTAGCAAACTCTCCAGCCGGTCAGTTTTTGGTTGTCATGGTAATTGTACTTTCACATGCTAAATGCCTATTAAAAACGTTCACCGTTTTACCACAAGCTGAAATTTTGGCTGTCAGTACTACTTTGTATTTCTGTTGTATTTAAAAAAATTTTTAAAAAGACCTTTTGGTAAGATTTGCATGCTTATCTAATTAAGCAAACTGAGAGGAGCCTTGATCCTAACCTGACTAAGCCTTTGTAAACTTCATGTATTATGTGGTTTATAATGGACTGTGGTGCAGAAACAGTGAGGCTTACATCGTCCTTTTATTTGTCAGCGGTCATACTTGATGCACTAGATGTGACATTTTTTTGAGTTGTTCTTCATTTTCTTTGGTATGTTAGCCCAGATGAGCCAACCCTCCCAAGTTGTAAAATACTGTATTACAGGAATATGAGACATCATGTAGCACTTCATTTCTTAATGTGGCTGTTTATTAATGAAATAATAATAATATTCAAAAAACCATATGGTTTTACTGAATAATTAAGTAAATGAAATTTTTTAATATATCTATCTATAGAAACCTGATTTCTTGACTGGCAAATCTCTGCTATCTCATAGATGACATCTTTGTCCTGTCTCAGGTACCGTAGCTATACTACTCGCAACTCTCACCACTAGATGCCACTAAAACACAATGAGCCTTTAAATCCAATGATTCACATACTTTCCCCACCCTTTATTGTGAATGTTTACATGGTGTGTTCACTAAAAACATAAAAATATAATTGTTTGTGTGGTATTAGTGTAAGCAAGTTTTTCTTTTAGTATTTTTATTTTTTAGTTTAAGAAAATTATTTCACTTACATGAAGATCAGATCACATTTTATGACCAATTTATGCAGAAATCCAGGAAAGAGTTTTTCCTGCAACTGTATATTGATGACTCAGACATACACATGGATGAGTTGTTGAACAAAAATTAAAAATTGTAACGCAACTTACTCATGAAAGAAAGCAAACATTTGTTCCAGAGTTCCATCAACCGGCTGCACATGACTCCCACTAATACACACCGCACACCTGAGCTGGAAGACCACACACACACACACACACACACTTAAAATATATAGAGGACAGATATGATCCTGATCAGAAATAATCAGGATTCATTGTTAATGTATAAAGCAAGATCCAATAAGTGCAGAAAAACTACACAAAATTAAATAAAAGTAGTAATTTGGTACAGCTGACGTGAGGGACAGACAAATGGAGGAAGATTCATATTAGCTGTGTGGTACCATCTAGTTTCATTTAGTTCTGCTCTGCTGAAAAACAAATGCTCCAAAAAAGATGCAGTCTCTGATGAGATGTTCCAGCCATGTGGCCCCTGCTCTCCTCGCCCCCGCTGGCGCGGAGTAAATCTGCGGTACCTGCGGCCTCTGTGTCAGGTTCCTCAGACAATTAGTGCTGCAGAACCGCCTGGCAGGATTGGATTTTCTCTGTATGACTGAGACATAGCTGAGTGTTGGTGAGTCCAGCGCCTTTTCTGAACTCTTACCGCCTGAATGTTGCTGTTTGAACCCCCTGCGGACGTCAGGTAGAGGAGGAGGAATATCAACTGTTTATAAGAATGTCTATAAATGTAAGCAGTTGTCACCAACATCCACTTTCACCAGCTTTGAACTGAGCTTATTTAAGCTGGGTCGCTCTCACACAGTGTTGTGTGCAGTGGTCTACCGGCCTCCCAAATACAATAAGGACTTTGTAAATGACTTTTATGTTTTTCTGGCTGAAATTATGCCTAAATATTATCTTGTGCTTATTGTTGGGGATTTTAATGTCCATGTGTGTTGTCCTGAAAACCCACTGGCAACAGACTTTCTACACCTCATTGACTCTCATTTAATCTTGTGCAGTCTGTGTCTGCAGACATTAAAGCGACTTACAATTGCTATACATGTCAGAGGTCGCACGCCTCTGGAGCAACGAGGGGTTAATTGTCTTGCTCAGGGACACAATGGTGGATGGGTCACAGTGAGAATCCTTTGCCTTTGGTGGGTCTCCCACACCAAAGGCAAGCATCTTATCTATGCGCCATCACCACCCCAATACACACGGACACACACTTGATATTGTCCTATGGGTTGCCTATTCTTAACTTAGAGATCTGTGACGCTGTTTTCTGACCACATGCCGGTATTATTTGAGATTGTTCTTGCCTGTAATACAGTTAAACCTCGCACTACTGCACGGCACTGCCGTATTATTAACCCTTCCACTGCTGTTCAGTTCCCCTCCGTTTTCAGTCAGAACTGTGACATTCTAACCTAAAACTAAAGCTGAACCCTGACTGAATGACACAACCCATGTTGTCAGACTTGCGCAAAAGCATAAACTGCATGTGTCTTTTCAAATGTTAAGGGACTGCTGGCGGCATTATCAGACGATTATGAAAGAAGCTAAAAGGAAATATTTCGCTGAAATTATTCTGTCAAACTGTAACAACTTTTTTTTAAACAAAAAAGGTTGCCCGTTAATCGGAAGGTAGGCGGTTCAGTCCCCGGCTTCTCCACGCTGCAAGGGGCAAGATACTGAACACTTAGGCTCAGTGTATGAATGGCGAATGCAGATGTAGTGTAAAAGCGCTTTGAGTGGTCGAAAAGACTAGAAAGGCGCTATAAAAATATGGAGCATTTACATTTAAGACTATTGACTCCGTCCTCCAAGTCCCGCAAACTGTATGCTTTGATGCCTCCCATGATGTGTATGAAAAGGTCCCTGAACTTTTTAAACATGCAGTAGTGCAAACTGTAATTTAAAAAACATGTCTGGATCCTGCAGATCTCACTAATTTCAGGCTTATCTCCAAACTAACCTTTCTGTCAAAAACCCTTGAAAAGATAGTTTGCAGTAAATTAATGGCCTTCTTGGATGAGCACAATATTCTTCCAATCAAGTTTTAAAACCCTACATAACACAGAATCAGCTCTTCTAAAAGTTTAATTTAATGTTTAGTTTAATGATATCCTTTTAGCTACTGACTCAAGGGATTGTGTTATTCTTGTGCTTCTTAATCTGACTGCTGCCTTTGACACAGTGGACCATGAGTCAGCTGTGGAGAGTCTGTGTCTGCTCCTCTCTCTTGTGGGGTCCCACAGGGCTCAATATTAGGCCCTCTTCTCTTCTCTCTTTATTTGCCCCCGCTTGGTTCCATACTTAGGAAGCATGGTATGTCATTCCACTGTTATGCAGACGATAGTCAGATCTATGTGCCTCTTAAAAAGAATGAAACTGTTGGACTGTTACTTAAGTGTCTTGACGACATAAAGGCTTGGATGGCTCTTAACTTTTTAAGTATTAATGAAAGTAAGACAGAAGTGATGTTTTTTGGTGGCACTACTGGGACCCCCCGTGTCGATCTGGGTTCCTTGAGTCAGTACATCAAGCCAACAATCAGTAACCTTGGGGTTAAAATTGACTCTGACCTTAAGCTCGACAGACAGATAAGGACAGTCGTAAAAACAATGTTTTTTCCAATAGAGGCAACTGGCCAAAATAAAGCCATTTCTCTCTAGGCAGCACTTTGAAATACTGTAATGCACTGAACATGGGGGTCAGTGGGTCCTCTATTGCTCATCTCCAGATGGTACAAAATGCTGCAGTGCGTCATCTGAATTAGGGGCTGTATCAGAACAGGTTTACATGGTTTAATTTTCAAAAAACACCATATTTTTCTCATACAGCACATTGCTGCAGCTCCTCTTTTCACCCTGTGTGTTGTACGCTCCGCTCTTGAGCTACAGTGATGCATCGTACTTTGTTGGGAGTTGCACATGTGCAGTTCCCAGGTAAGGACTACTAGCCAATCAGAAGCAGAGAAGGGCGGGTCGTAAGAAACAAGGTAGTGTGATCCAAATCAAAGCCGCTTCAGACTGCGACCGTAACCTAGCAGATGGTATAAGTTACTCAAGTCCACAACCACACAACATCATTGTTCCACATCTTACCATAAACCACTACAAAAATAACCATATTTCAACTCAATATTACATAAAAATTGGCCAAACAATTTGAACGTTTGCTCAGTAGCTTTCACATCAACTGTAACATTAGCATTATAGTTATAACTTTAGCTGTGTTAGCCAACGTTTACAACAAATCCGCACTTGAACAGTCTGTGAAGTTACATTGCCGTGTTTATTTGAAATATAATTTACATCCAATAAAGCATACTTACAGGTTGTGATTGTGAATTTCCAGGCCTAAATACAGTCGGTGTTGCATCGTCATTTAGGACTAAACGTTGAGCTGTTGCCGGTGTTCTGATAATCTATGCTGCCTTGCCGAAAAATGCTACCATAGCGCAAATCAATAGACTCGACTCTACTCGGCCCTGCGCCGTTTTCCATTGCAGATAGTACCCAGAGATAGTACGTAGCTTGTCGTCATAGCGACACCACACACAACTGCTGCAACGTAATGTTCAATGCGACACACACAGCAGCAATCCACACAGCTTTCTCTTTTTTACGTTAAAACGTTTCAACATTCCTCAGAATGTAAAGACAGATAAGCGGTATGAAAACCTTCCAGCTGTGTTTTCCTCTGCTGTTGTTGCTGCAGCGGTCTGTGAGCGGGCGGCTGGCCGGCCTCACACGCTCCTCCCGCGAGTTGGCGCAGGCTTCCCCCGCAGCCACTTGCGGAGCTCCTCAACGCTGAAAATATTCAAGCACATTTTTGTTCCGCCATAATTTAGGCGTAAATTTAGACAGTAAAACTGTCAATATTCGAAATCTACACAGCTGATTTCTCACCTCAAAACCTCTCAGAAGTGAATTTAGTGATGAAATTATATACGAACACTGTAAAATATAAAACTTTCTGTTGCTGCCTCTGTCTGGCTTAGGCAATGATGATGCAGTGAATAGTGAATATTCTCTCTGACCAATCAGCAGTCTGTCGTGTTTTCACGTTACATTTTAGGGAGGTGAGGTGATACAAAAAAAAAGTACCTGGAAGCTGGTACAGGTACAACATTTCTACAATGGAAAACCAAACAGAAGCGAGTCGAGCCAAAGGGCCTCCGCTCAGACTAGCTTGGTTTGAGGGCGTGCCTGACCCCGCTAGCCACTTTGCAAGCGAGGGCTTACCAACCAGGTACCAACAAACGAGCTGTTTTGAAGCGGTTCAGAGCAGAGCTTTCTGTGGGAGATGGGAACTCCCTTTGGGCTGGACTTTGGGCTTTTTCACTTTGCAAACCGGTTACATGCACAAAAAAGATATATAACTCAATAAAGGAGAGGGGAAAAGCCAAAAAGCATTATACCACCTCTTTAATGGTCTTGCCCCACCCTACATCTCTGAGCTGCTACACCCCTATAGACCCACCTGTTCTCAGGTCAGCCGATAAACTGCTCCTAAGTGTGCCCAAAATTAAGCGCAAGCTCAAAGGGGACCGAGCTTTTGCTGTAGCAGCTCCCAAACTGTGGAACAATCTACCTCTGTACATTAGACAGGCATCTTCATTATCGGTTTCCAAGTCTCTTCTTAAAACCCACCTCTTTTCCCTTGCCTTTGAAAACTGACGTTGATATTTCTTGTTTTAGTTGTATTGATTTTATTGTATGGTTGTTCTTGTTGTTATTTGTATTTAATGCGTGGTGTGAGCTTTGTTTTTAGTGTCTTTTATGTATTCATTTATTGTTTTACTGTAAAGCACTTTGTGTCCAGTTGGATTGTAAAGTGCTGAAGTGATTGATTTTTGATGATTGAGTTCAAGTAACAGTTAGGACTACTCTTTTGGTTATATTTAATTATTTGATTTGAGCAGCAACCTCAGACCATTTCTTTCTTTGTAATTTGCCCCTTGTTTTCATGTTATTTGTAAAGCTAAGTTCCTTGCAATAAATACATTTATTATACCAAAACAATCTAGTTTTGATTTAAACGGAAAGTTTTATAATTCACAGAAAAAATGTTGAAATTGCATAGAAATACAAGTACTTAGGAACCATGTTTGACTCTAAACTCAAGTTTGATAAAAACATAGTCAATCGCTAAGCGAGGACAACAATGAATCCACTTTGCCTTAGAGAGCTGGGTCGTAACAGTTTGTCAACCAGAATAGCTCGGTAGCATTGTGCAATGAGCAAAACTAGCCACAACCAACAGTACCAACTACTGAAACCTACAAGTGGTTAATGTGACCGAGCTTCTAGCACCAACTATTTAACAAGGATGCACACACAAATTCATTTGTTTAGTTCTTACCTGAAGCTCCATACTTTTAGATTGTTAGCGTCAACTAACCTTTAATAAAGTAGGGGAGCTGTATTAAGCTATGTCAAGACGCTAAAAGTTACATTTTTTAAAATTCCTTTTATAATGACTATAAACATATCTACACACAAATTTTCACGACGCCACAGGCAGGGAGGTGACAGGGGGTGTGTTGTGTGTTTTTGAGTTTATTTTTTCGTGTTTGTGTGTTTTTGAGTGAGTGGTGCTTGGTGGCTTTTGAGTGAGTGGTGCTTGGTGGCTTTTGGCTTTTTGTGTTTGTCTTTGTGTTTGGCCCAATCCCATCGTCCCACCTCATAGACTCATAAACTTTGAGGCGTGTTCCCGGGAAATCCGTGAGGTCTTAGGGCTGTCCCACTGTCAAATCGTCAAGTGCGCGAGGACTCACAGACATTTTGAGCCCTTTTTAGACCCTTTTCGTAAGTCCGCATTTCTGCAGGCTTTGGGAATTGCCCACAGTTCATAGCGGTATGACGTGAAACACGGGGGTTACCATGGGAAGCCCGGAAGAGAGAGAAATATCAAGGTAAATCAGCGTTATAAGAGAAGAAGAAAACAGTAAACAAACAAGCATCGACACCTACGCTGATGTCACAATTGTTGAAAGTTTTCTTAACTTAAGATGCTGCATAAAACACATGAAGTCAGAGGAATGCAATAAACTTAGTTTATTCAACTATTTATTCTATATTTATATTATATTATTATATTTCTGAAGAATGTCTCACTTTAATGAAGCCTATCTGATCTGTGTGTACTATTGATGAGATAACTGTCAGGGTTGAGGGTGAGCGCAAAACAGTATCGTCTTTGTGTACTTGTCGGGCAGGTGAAAAAACACAGCAATCACATTATGCAATCACACTAACATATGAGACTGGATACATTTTAGTTACTGAGAGATTATGATAGCATGATTTGTGTATTACTCAGAGTAACCAAAATTATTGTGTTTTCTTATATTGATCTCTGATTTATTTTATAGGTAGAAGTTTATATGTTGGTCTATCATTTATTAAACTAGACCGGATGTGTGAGTTTTTGGATAAGGGAAGTTAAAGGGGGTCTATGCATGACGTGGGCCAATCATGGACTGACCTACACTTTTGTTTTATTGTTTTATGACTTGACGATGTATACTGGGTCAGGGAGAGATAGCGAGTCGGACTTCATGAACTGACCCAGCTTGTTGGTGGTCAGGGAAAGGAAGACTCAAAACCCTGAGCTCTGGAAGCTTTATTCATTTACTTGTAATAAAACTGGTTAATTTTGACCAAAAACGCCTTCTCCTATTGCTTCATTAAAGAACACGCAGGACCAAGGACTACACATAGTTTAAAAAGGGTGACTTCAAGTCACGGTCCAACATTACTTATCTTGGCCTTTGATATGTAGTCCAGTTGGCACACACAATAGTGGTGAGTTACCCATTTAGAAATCCGCACACACACAAAAAAAACATTTTCGGACATACATTCTAAGAGTTGACTACTTTAACACTCAGCTAGGGCTGAAATGATTTACCAATTAAAGCGATAAAATCGATTAATAAAATGCTTCGACTCAAATCCTTTGCATCGATGCTTCGTTTAATCCATGTAACTATACAGCACAGTGTTTCGCACGGACATTTATTACTGTCGCACAACGCGCTTACACTGTGAACACGACATGATTATAACGGAGCTGTTTGCAAAGTGGAGGAAGAGAAAGAAAATAGCGAGGGACAATGAAGAAAGGGTCCAAAGTATGTTATTATTTCAAGCTAAAGAAAACAACAACTCTGTCTGTGTCACAGTCTGTCCACCGTAAAACAAAACTTATGTTGCCTCGGCAACAGCACGACGGCAGCTGAACAAAAAGGTTTTCTGCCAGCGGACCAGAGACAAGGTAACAGTAACAGCAACTTTAGCAATTAACTGAAATCCTGATTGATTGTTGAGTTAAAGGCTAACCAAAGTAAGCCGCAGTCCTCAGCTGAAAATGTGCACAAGTGCGTTTGTTGTCCTCCTTTTTGGGCCGTGAGTTGTAACCTCACAGTCATGAGTTAAGTGGGTGTTGCACCTTTTAACTCCCCTCCAGCTCTCTCTGTAGCTCAGACAATCCCTGCTAACTGCATGTGCTAATCCATCCTTCACCCATATACAGTTATCTTTACAAAAACAAACAACAGCTGTTTCGTGTGCAGGATCGCTCATTTCCCGTTTCACATTTCACATGTATTTTCTTGACAAAAGTGGTTTGGAAACCTGCATCGGGTGACACAGCTGCTGTCAGCTCCTGTAGTGTGTGTCCCTGTCACCGATCAGTCACGTAGTGTGAACTGCACGGCCATCAGCCGACACTTAAAGTCGTGTAGTCCGCACGAGCCTTTAGTATAACTTGTATAGCACTCAGGTGAAGTGTGTGTCTGTAAAGAGGCTGCAGTTTGTTCCTTTGAGCTCTGCTTTTGCTCCATACCAGCTCCTTGTGTTTGAAGTGTTCAAATTTGACAACAATGGGCCGCGGATTTTTGTTTTTCCCATTTGCCAGTTGACCCGGTCAGTGTACCCGGTGAAAGGCAATGTTTGCAACTGTTTCAGATGTTGAGTTGAGTAACAAGAAGTTCAATAATTAATTTTTCAGGGTTGTTGTCAGGGTTGAGGATGGATTCTTTCAACTGTTAGGGTTAGTGTTGATTTATTATTGAGAATGCAGTGAAAGGAATCTATTCTGACGCAAGCAAGCTGACATCCCGGTTCACGTGCCAGTCCCATGGGAGTCTCAATCAGAGCGTCATCCTCCCTCCTAAGAGCGTCATCTCAAAAGTTACTTTCAGCCATAGTTATCTTACCTTTATAACTTGGGAGTAAGCAGCCATTTTGAGTGTGATGCTGGCGCCAAGGGAAAGACCCAACATGGCGATACTGCTGCTGAGGACCTGAGGATGCTGCTCCAGGACTCTATAGGCTGTCTGCAGCAGGAACACATGTCAGAAAACAAACTGTTACAGTTGAAACACAGAGACTTTGAACATATTGTGAAAGAGTAAAACATGCATGCCAACTTCCTCAAACTCAACTGTGACAAATCAGACTTGATCATTTTCGGTCCAAATCCCTCAACAAAAACACTCACAACTTCTGCCTCACCATCAACAACTTCGCTTTGTCTCCCTTCCATACAACCGCAGGCTCTCAATCATTTTTTGACAGCAACCTCTCTTTTGAACACGTCAACCAAATCACCAGAACTGCCCTTTTCTACCTGAAAAAAATATAGTCTGTCTTCATCCCTCTCTGCTGCCAAAACTTTAATGCACACCTTCATCACATCCAGAACAGACTACTGTGTGCTTGATGTGTGCTACTGTGTGGTACTACTACTACCATGACATTTTGCTATGTAGTGATATACCCTAACAATGCAGTGGCTAAAGCCAGCTTGGCAACAAGGTCATGCATGTGAGATCAAAGACAAGACTACTAGACAGTAGCTAATTAATATGCACCGCCAACTGGACAGGGGGTCTATTAAAGGTGGTCTACATGTGTTTACTGACAGCGGTGTATTAGACTTACTTCACATTACGGTAGATGGCCTTTTGTCTTAATCTGTCAACATGACACAGTCTACAGATTTTTGTGCCAATCTTTAAAAAAATTCTGATTTCTGGGAAAACATTCTCTGAATTTAGTTATATTCCTAAAAAAACCCTCAATAGTCACATGTCAACCTTTCCCCTACTCTGAACCATGAGAGACTGGCATGCATTTGTTACATGTGTAAGAATGATGTGCCCAAAGGTGAGGTAATAGGGTGTGTAACCTGTTGCCTCATTCTTCATGCATTTGTATGCGTGGACCACTTTAGCCACTGACTCTTTCCAATTTTCCTTGTCTTTATCCTCCAGGGTGCACAACATGGACAACAGAGTACGGGTGAATCTCTCTACCAGCCCGTTTCACTGTGGGTGGTAGGGTGTTGTGTGTGCCCTGGATTCCAGAGAGTTCCTTGAGCCTTGCCATCAGTTTGTTCTTGAATCCTTCTCCTATATCGTGATGCAATTTGCTTGGGAAGCCAAACTTGAGAGCAAAGTCATTGAAGATCTTGTCTGCCACAGTTTTCGCAGATTTGTTCCTTGTAGACTCTAGCTTCCCGGAGTGGTAATTTTTCTCTGCCTGACTCAGGGTGCAGGAGCCATATTCTATTACTCTCATCTTTCCTTGCTGACGCTGATACAACACAGCACCAAACCCATCCTGGGATGCAACACAATGTAGCACATTGGTGGGGATCTCTGGTACTGCCCTAGAATGGTTTTCATCCTACCTGTCAAATAGGAAGTTTTGCGTGTCTGTAAACAACTATGTCTCTTTGTTCTGTCCAGATAAATATGGTGTGCCTCAGGGGTTGGTCTTAGGACCCATTTTGTTTTCCTTGTATCTGCTTCCCCTTATGACATATTATCCATAAACATGGTATTTCTTTTCACATTTATGCTGATGACACACAAATGTACTTGCCTGTCAGATCCACAGACCCTGGCATGCTGAGTTCACTTAACAACTGCCTTTGTGAAGTAAAAAAATTGATGTCAAATAACTTGTTTAACCCCAAAATCTACTGATCGTCTCTAGACTGTCCAGAACTCATCTGCCAGGCTTTTAACCAGAACAAAGAAATATGACCACATTATCCGTTTTAGCTTCATTACACTGGCTCCCAGTATGTTTTAGAATTGACTTTAAAATTTTATTGATCACTTTTAAAGCTCTTTAACTTGTTTTTGAATAGTGCTCTACAAATAAAGATCCATCCATCCATCCATCGTCAACCGCTTATCCTGTGTACAGGGTCACGGGGACAAATAAAGATTATTATTATTATTATTATTATTATTTTGTTTTGCCATCGTTTCTGTTGATGACAGCTTCAATGACATTGTAACCTATGATGGGGTCACTGGCAACTGCTGAATCACTGGACACAAGTATTGGCACTTGTATGTCACTCATCAAGTGGGGGTCATTGTCTAGTCTAAAGCTGATCTCAATCCAACCAATGTACGGGATAGGCGTGTTATTGGCAGCGAGAACTGTTAGTGTCTGCTCTTCTAAGAGCTCTGAAATGAGCCTTATAAACGTGTGGGGAAGATGTCATTGTCGCCGAGAGTCATTCACGATGCTAGACCAGGCCCCAATGTCCCACAGTACTTTAACTGGGTGGTTGTCCATGAAGCAGCTGACCATACTGTGCTTAGCAGGCATCAAATTATCACATCTCAGTAACAGAACACTATAACTCATGTAAGTGACAAAGTAGTTACATTATGTTTTGAGACCTTAAATTTTCACTGAATTAAAAAATTGGGGGGGGGTAATTTTATCTGTCACACATTCTCTCTGTATTCGGCCTCCCATTAAATAGACAGGGCAGTGCAAGCCTTGTAGCTTTATTCTGAGCTATTTGGAGTTATACAGATATACAGTTATACAGAACTGTTTTGGGTGCACCCAACTAGACTGCTAAGCAGTAATCAAGCTTGCCCCTTGTCACGAGCACTCCAGAGGCAGGGGTAAGAAAAAAGGAAAATGGAACAACAATGCATGACATTCTTCAACACATTTTATTAACAATCATTTCTAAATGTTTCTCCCATGATAGCACCCCATCGAGTGTGACACCAAGCAGGTTTGCCTTTTGAACCACCTGTTCAATATCTAAGCTTTTGAGTAATGGCACAGCATTATTAGTGGCATGTCTGTAAAGCACTTTGTTGAAATGTGCTAATGTCAGGTCCCCTGTTCCTAGGTATTGTGTATGTGTGTGTGTGTGTCCCTTTTTGCAGGAGTGGAGTCTGGTGTGCAGGAGCCTGTTACCAGCTGCCAGCCATCAACCTCATTATGCTCTGCCTTTTATACCGGGTTCCTGCCTCCACTCAATGCCAGATTGTAGACTCACCTTAACAGTCAGTCATGTTTGAGCCATTCTAATCTAAGACTAGTTCTTGTGCCTGTTCCCTGAAGAATATTAATGGCTATCGGCAGCTGATAAACTCTCCTGTTTTTTGGAAGTGATACAACATTGGCAGATTTTCAAATTTGGGTGAATGACCCCTCCAAGTTGAAAATGACACAACTTTAGGTGACGATCCATCCAAATTCCTTTCGTAACTTGTCTAAATTTACTTTTAAGAAAATTCTTTTTACCTCTATGGGAGAAAAGGTGCATTATTCTTGGCTCTACCCATTATTTCATTCAGTGTTTCCCAAACACCTGACTTGACTTGAGGGGTAGGGGGTGGAGCCTGTACCAGTGATTAAAGCTGGTCTGTTTCAGCTCATAAAGCCTTCATCTCCTGCCAAGAGGGTGATTCTACTTTAACTTTTTCAGTTCTTCTTGTGGCATGTCTGAACAGGAGGTCTTCTATGTTATGCAGCCTTTTACTGCCTCACAGAGTGGCAGAATGCTGCAGTTAATACATGGGCCGGACAGGGCATCCCTAACGTGACCCATACCCAGACTCTTGGGATCAACTCACGGCAACCCCCAACCTGAAATTGAGCTCCACAAGACACGCCAGCATTGCTTCAATTGAAAAAGAGGGTGTCTAGACAAGAATCGTGACTAGACCACAGAATGCAAATCTGAACATCTAGCAGACTTTTTATCACAAATACAAACAATTGGCTAGGCAGTCAGGCGAATCCAACCTGCTGCTAGCTTCTTCACTTGAATTGCTAGTGTTGCCAGAATTTCACTCCCTAAACTTGACCAATATGTATACCAGTACAACATGTCACTATTCTGATAGATGCTAAAAACATGAACATTATGTAGGCCTACCATTTTTTTCCAAAACTTATAAAGCCAAAAAGTTTTTGCCTTGTCTTAAATGATTGTAAACTACATATTTCGGCTTTGGACTGTCGGACATTAATTTAAAGACATTAACTTGGAGTTAAATTGAGATTTTTCACTAACTTCTGACATTTTTCAAACCACTATTCGGCAAAATACTGGACAGATTAACCAATAAAGGAAATAATGATTAATAGCAGCCCTAGACTCAGTAGTCTTTTCTTTTCAGTTACACATATTTAGAAATGAAGAGCTCATACCTATCTCACACCCCATCAAATACCATCTGTCAGAGGAAGAATTATGTGCTGCCATGAAATTTTGATATAAATCTGTTTGAACTGTTTTGCAATACCGGCACTCATCAGGTTTACCTCAAAGTACTCGTTGTCCACCCTTTTCCTGGTATCCATGATGATTTTAGGTGTCAGGTAGTCTAAGGCCAAGGAGGCAAATCCATGTGAGGCCAGCAGCGCTGCACGGTACTCAAACAGCTTCCCTTCACCGCCCCACAGGTCCAAGAGGCCAGGGAAAGGTCCCCGTCCTTCAAAACACCAAAACCATTTTGCAGTTTACACAAGAATGGTAGTTCCTGATACTTTTGATTCATGCTTAATTGTTGTCCATTGGTCAGTGTTGCTCAGAATGTCACACCCGAGCAGGACACCTCCCTTCAGACTATCCTTTGGTCCTACCTGAGGGCAGGAAGAGGGTCGCAGTGAGTCCGCCTTCTGTGATGGGGATCCTGTGGACACCAGGCGCCATGTACCAGCGCTCCACCACCACACTGGCCAGTGGTACCTGATCCATAAAGCCCTCAGTCTGATGACCCTGGTACACTGAGATAGTGACCTCAATGGGAGTCTGGACGTTCACCTTTCGCATCCTGAGGGATGACGGGAAAGAGTCAACTCTGATGATGATAATTCATTTCACCTGTCCGCCCTGTTTTCCACCTGGATGGATGTGATCTGTCTGGTGAGCGTGAACAATCGTACTTTCACAAGCAACCTAAGCAGCCAGAGCAGATGATAAGCGCAACAAATAACAAATAATAATAATAAAACAATGTTAAAAAAGATATCCGATCAATATAGCACTGTCCCCCAAGATGAATTTTAATATTGTAATCCTGTACAATCCTCCATCACATGATGTTTCATTTTATCGTGATTTAGATGAATTGTGTAAATTGTCGTTCTGAATGTGTCTTTTTTTTTTGGAGATTTTAATATAAATTGGTTAGACAAACATGTCTGGTGCACCAGACCAAGTAGGCAATTGTAGACCAATCTCTATCCCACCAGTTCTCTCAATGATTCTGGAAAACATTGTTGCAGAACAACTGGTTGACCACCTTGAAAATAATTTACCTATTTATCTTAAACAGTTTGGATTTAGACCAGGGTATTCAACTGAAATGGCCAACTGCTACCTCACTGAAAACATCAAGTCCTCATTCGATAAGGGTAATGTACAGTAGTTGGAGCAGTGTTCATAGATCTTAAACAGGCCTTTGATACTGTGAACCATGAAGTGCTTTTGAACAAACTAAGTACTTTTAACTTTTCTGAGCAAGCAACTGTGTAGCAAAACCCATTGTGTAGCAGCAGAGATATTAACAAGCGAAATGAAGGGAGTATCTCTATGGCTTAAAAACAATCACTTAACTCTGAATCTGAAAGACTGTGTCAATGTGTTTTTTCCATGAGAAGGAAAGCAAAAGAAAAGCTTATAATTAGAATAAATAGAGGAAGTCAATGATTTAAAATTCCTAGGTGTCATTTTCTACCCCAAACTTAAATTTTATAAACATGTTAAACTATGCAAAACTTTAAAAACTAATTTGAACTGTTTTAGAATGATTAGACATTACATACCCCTCAAGGCAGCTCAACTGTTTATTGCCTGCCATGATATTCTCCCATCTTTCTAATTGTGTTACTGTATGGAGCCAGGCTTCACAGTCAACTGTTAAACCCATTATATCACTATATAAACAAGCACTGAAAATAATGGATCAAAATTAAATGAAATGGCATCATTGTATAATACTGAAAAAGTATAATTTGCGTAGCTATGATAGTTTTATTAAGTTCTCTTTTATCAAATTGATTTTTAAATATGTGAATAATCTCGCTCCAGCTGTACTTTGTCCAAATGTGACAAAAACAAATACTAACAGAATCGCCACTAGGGGATCAGCAAATGGCAACTGCAAGGTGGCACAGCGCAGTCATCCCTCTCTGTAAAAGGCATACATTTTTGGAATGCCCTACCAACAGGAATAAAAACACAAACCTGAAAACATTTAATGAAAAGATGAAACACTGGCTGAAACATAGCCAAATCTGTGATCACTGATCATGCCCTTGTGCAGACATACATAGACATGTCCGTACGGTTATAGAGAGACAGACACACACACACACACACACACAGATATATGTATATAATGTGACTATTTATTCTGTTTTTGTTTTATTTTCCTGTGCGTTTCTGTTTGTTTGTTTCTGTTCTCTTGGTAATGGTGATGTATGTATCCTAAAGGGACAGGGGTTGCAAATTAGCTTCAGCAAGAAACCCTATATGCAACACATCTGTTCAACTTACTGTAACCTGTAGCAATGTGTCTCTTTTGCATTGTTGCTGAGAAATAAACAAATATAAATATTGATTAACATCATCTGAACAGCTCTATCCTTCTTGGCATACCTGATCCCAGGTGGGCTGCCTGGAACTGCTCTGAGGCTCCACAGTAGACCCATTGGTTCAACCCCAGAAAACGTCCCGCCCAGACTGGGATCCTCTGAAACTGTAAAGTGAAAGTGGATCAACAACTATTTGATAATTTGTCAATTTTAACTGAAAGGGGCTCTATGTAGTTTTTCAATAAAATTACCGATTAATAAATCAAATATTTAGTTTCTTTTTGTCAATGGGCTCCAACTTCACTTAGAAATGAAGCACATGCCTATTTTCTCTGTTGCTTGCATCAGTCACTATTCTGCTTTTAATGTGAGGACATCGGCTTGGAATATAGCCCTGTGTGCGCTCCCGAGCCTCTCTGACTACAGCGACAACACTACAGCTAACGACATGCGTTCCACTAACACTACAAAACAAGCTGCTCCCCGCTCAGCACAGACTCCAACATAAGCTCCATGTAAGGATACAGAACAACAGCACGATCCATATTACTATCCTGTGTACCACCGGCATTTTGTCAAAGTGTTGATTTAGCTTGCAAGAAAGGATATGACAGTACAAGAAGAAGATGATTAAAAAGAAGATATACTTTATTAATCCTGCAAGGGGAAATTCAATTATTATTATTAGAGTGTGTGTGTGTGTGTGTGTGTGTGTACACAACGTGCGGATGTAGGAGAGGCCCACGCTGTGGGTGAGTGTAGACAAAATTTATCAGTGCTGCGCAGGTGCGCGTAGGGGGTAAAACCAATAGCGATGGCCTTAGAGGGCGAAGCCTATAAGAAATAGAACTACATAATGTCCCTTTAAATGACCACTTTTAATCTATATTGTGTTTATCAAGGTTGCTGAACATTTTAATTTCCGAACTGATCGTCTTTCATGTAGTGAACCTACACTTTGTTAATGAAATTATGAGTAATTATATTTGGAAATATTAATCACAAGCACTCCAAGGCCTTTAGGACTCCTTGCGCATAGCTAAATACACAATTATTACTAGTGATCAGTTAGTTATTAATTGTTCATTAACCTCTTGGTACCGGACCTGCCTGATGCCGGAGTATGGGAGTGCTTTTGGTCATAGGAATATTGACTGTTTTTATCAGTATTTCAATGTTTTGGAAGCTTTGTTATTTGGAACATGGTTGTATGGAGAGAAATAATGTTTTGAAAATAAGTCCATAAGTCCCAATAATTGCATCCCCATTTAGTCTGTAATGGTAAAATAAACATGTTAATGTACAATGGATTTATATTCCTTAGCTTCTAACCTTTCAAAGGAGACCATTATTATGCATCTAGGCCTAATGGTTGAGGAGATATTACTGATTTATTCTGGGTATGTTATTTTAGGCATTTTTCCTGGAAATAGGTGCCAGGTACCATGTTGTTCAGTTACTTTCAGTCGGTTTAGTTTAATCAGTCAGTCAGTCTCAAATCTGAGGGTGAATTCTCCGTACAGTGACCTGGATCGCTAAACAGTACACACACACACAAGTTCCTGTGATCAAAGTAAAGATTTATTACAACTAGTGAACACACGTGAGGTTAAATATAGGGATATTGTCACGATCCTGTCCTGACTGCTGTGTTTTTTGGGGTTTGGTTTTGTATCTGCATGTTAGTCCTGTCATCTGTTCTGTTTAGTTCTCTCTGAGTTTATTCTTTTATCAGTTAGGTATCTGTTATATAGTCTGTTGGCTTTTGGGTTTCAGTCCTATCTGTTTGGGGTCGTGTATCTCCCTTAGCCACACGGTCTTATTAGTCAGAATCCCTTGTGCTGCGCTGTTAGTTTAGACTAACTTTAGTTTTTAGTTTGCTTGCTACCTTTAGTGTGCTCCTCTCCCTGATGTTATTGTTTATCTGGTTATTATCTGTCACCTGATGTTCAGTGGTGTTTTGGTATTTTCCTGATTTCAGTTCTGTTCCTGTCTCATGTATTAGTTTCTGTACCATCATGCTTGAGTTCTGTCAGTTTGCTAGGTGTCAATTTATGTTCTTTGCCAGTTTCAATAATCTGTTTTGGTAAACTACTCAAAATCTTTACTCAAGAAAAAGTACAATTACTCCCACAAAAAGTAAAAGAAAAAAAATTACAAACCTATTTCATCTGCTGTTCATCAGGTTAGAAACAGCTGCAACATGGTTATTTCTAGGGAATGCAATTTGCTTTGCTGGTTGATTGTAGTTAGCTATTTCTGTTTAATAGTTATTTTCCTTTTTAAATCTCCATGAAGGTGTTGATAAGATCACTTTAAAATATCATGCTTGCTGCCTAGCCGACTATTGTTGCCTGTATATTTTATTATGTACATGTAACCAACCAAACCACTTACTTACAGGCAGCCAATACAATCTGATTATTCCTAAAGCATCTAAATAATCTTCACAACGCTTTTCAGTAGAGCAATAAAGCCTTAAACTGAAAAGGTATTTGCCTGATTTTCTAAATGTTTGCATCTGTCCAGCTCATTCATCTGTGATAAGCGCCGTCTCTTTGTACCACAGAGGAGACCTGGCGCTCTTCTGCTTTACTGCGCGCACACACAGCCTGGCTGACAGCTCATTCGGTTAACGAAGCCTATTGCAGATTACAGACTGAAGGTATGAATGGAGAATGTAGCAAAATTAAAAGTAGATTACTGGCCCACAGAAAATACTAAAGAGTAAAAGTTTTAAGAAACTGTGAAAAGGTGCCAATTACTTATTTTATTTATTTATTTTTAAAATTACCTTACTTGTAACAAGTCACTACCCACCCTGCAGCGTCCCCACTGCTGTCTTCAGGTACAAAAAGAACAGCACAAAATAAAGGTAATATTGAGGCACTTTGCTGCACCTGCCTTGAGCGAACTGTTTTTTTTTTTCCTCCCTTAACTTTTCAGCACCACCTTTGCCATGTTTTCTATATGTTTTTTGTCCTCGTTTCAACTGCTTTATCATATCTAATGCAGAATGTGTAATTGAATGATTAACTATTCACTCAAACCGCCTGGCTATGAGCCAACTCCAGAATCGCCGGAAAAAAAGTGAGGGGGACAAAACAGATTTTTTTTAAATGTGGGGGGGACATGTCCCCCTCATGTATAATGGCTCCTACGCGTAAAATGAAAAGAACATGTCGTCTAGTGTAAACTCTGTGCGACCAGTAAAAAGCTTTCAATCGCGAACATTTCTCCATCTGATTTATTGAAGCGTCTGCTGAAGCAGCACAGCGACGTGAAACTTACAGAAAGAAACTCCGGCAGCTGCTGCCACCGATGCTCGGACTCGTTGGGAGAGATTGGCGATAACGTAGCGTTTTGTAACTACTGAATACTGCTCTTATAAATGGGCTACGTGTGCAGAAAAAACGCTGTTTAAACGTCGGGATGTACTTGCCGCTGGTGTTAACAAATGTTAGGTTATAGGCCCCTATGCTCTGTAAACAGCACACTCCTTGCTGCTGTTATGGATATGATGTTAGTTAAAAAGTCAGGGGAGACTGCTGTGTTTGTGAGTGAAGGAGGGGTGGGGGTGAAAGCAGTGTTTCCCATAATTAGCCAATAATTTGGATAATTATCAACAAGGAGCGCCACATATTGATTTTCCAAATTTGTACTACATTTTTGATTAAGGAGCTGTATTGAGGAGCATATATTCCTGCAGCACCTCCTGGCTCGCTCCCTCTCCCCAGGTAGGAGGACTTTGTTCCTCCTAGTTTCTGCATTTTAAACTTTAATAATGTCTTAAAGTCTATTTGCTTGTGTTTTAATCACATATCTTTCCACAATATCAACTCTTTTCTTAAATACCATAAACCATTCTTAATTTCTAAGCATTTGATAAAAGGAAAGCAAAAGCTCTTGTGTTAGTCGTCCCTTCCAATTAGAATTGTTATAGTTAAACAACATTTTATAATGATTAAAGCAGATGGACAGAACAGTTTACTGGATACTTCCAGGATAATATTGATTGTTACATGTTATTACTATATATATATATATATATATATGGAGGTATTTGAAACATGGCATCAGTTAAAACAATAAAACACAGACAGTGATAAATCCAGAGCACATGGAAATGAAGTCAAGAACAATGGCATGTTAAACCTCTTTTGTCCTTTGGGGACACTGGTTTCATGAAGGGAGACTGAAAATAACTCTGATTACTTAAACTTTAAATTCAGTCCTTGGCCCAGGAGCTGGTAAAATGGAGTATGTAATACAGAATGATATTTCTGTACCACATTATTTACCGTTCTTTTGGGTACATAGATTTTGTTTAAGTATTTAAAAAGAAACTATTGTCTTCTTCATTTTATCTGTATTTGTCTCAGTTCTACACTTATGTGTGAAGAGCAAACAATCTGTTTCTGTGTGTGTGTGTGTGTGTGCTGAATATCCAGTTTCGGCCTTTAGTTTATAACTATTTTTTTTCATGTGGTAGAGAACCAGGGCGAGGAAAGGTTTTTTTTACTTCGATGTTTGGGGTAACTAGTGGTCCTGCAGAGTGTCGCCAGTGACACCTTTACAGCGAGAATGGTCGCATGGTTCCATAATAAACATTTTTTAGTCTGGCATGTATGTTTGAGTCTGTGCAGGGATCCTTATCAAAACACCAGATGGGCTGTGTCTGTCCTTTGCATGTCAATTAGACCAATTCTTAGGAATGAGGCCCCCTTGTAAATAACTGCTCTCACCTCCTCTTAATGTGAAATGCTGTGCTCACTGGTTTGTCACTACATTCACAAAACTTCCGTTTTTTGTTGTCAATGAATTAGGGGATTTGCATTCAATCTATAGCATTCTTTTCATTCGTTACCACATTACTGTATTTCTAACAATTGAAAAATGTATTTCCATTCTTTCATAGTCTTACAAAAAGACATTTCTTAATAGCTTGTTTGTAAGTCTTATCTAAAAAACCTTTCAGTTTTTTTTATTCTCCTGTGTTTTCACGTCTACGTCCGCATACAACCACGTACCGTTCACAGTCCCGGTGGCATTGGTAGTGTAGTGAGCAAACGCCTCCCAGGTGTGTCCATCTTCAGAATGATGGAGGGCGTGGATGGTTAGCTGGAAATCAGACAGGGTGTTCTGGACCAAGATGGTGAACTTCTCATCCACAAGTCCTCTGGACGGCTGAACCGACAGCTTCACACAACACTGCTTCCTGTCCATCTTGAACTGAGCACAAACATAAACTGACCAGAATGACAATGACTCCAGAAGACAGTTTGAGTGTGTCTACTTTGCTCTGAATCATTGTTCTTTCTTTTTAATTTAAATAAAATGATGACTGAGACTGAGTTGCAGACGGATGAGTAGTGTTGATACCAAAACCAGACTCTGTCCAAAGGTACGAGCTGTGTGCAGATGAGCACAGTAATATTAACTAATGCAATGTAACCCCACAAGCTTAAAGAGCAAATTAGCACAAGGCTGAAAAACAGTGTTTCATTCTCTCAGTGTCTGGTTGAAAGTTTCAAGCCTGTTTCACCTTCAATCTTCCAAATTAAACTACAAAATATGTTTGAAGGTTTGGTACTCTAAAATAATGTACCTTTCCAGGTTTTGTTAGTTTTAGGCACAAAAGGGACTTGTTTAGAGGTTAAGTAAAGATCCGGGTTTGGTTTAAAATTACTTCTTTGTTGGTTAGTGTAGCCTCACAGAGCTGCTAGCATGGCTGCAGACTCTTAATTCCTGATGGAACAGAAATATAAGTGCAGAGTACAACCCTATGAGAAGCTAGTGTACACAGTAACAGGAAATTATTTAACAGATATAGCGGATTGTTTTTTTTTTTTAGAGTAGTATTCATTAACCACACCTGTTCATGTCTAAACATGTCAACGTTTCACTCTGCCTTCAACAATACTGCAACATTTTCCTTTGTTAACTCTTAACATTCTCAACCAAAGATGAATAAATCTTTTACAATATAAGTGGGTATCCATATTTGAAGACAAACATACCTAAAAACTGTTATAGCTGGAAACCAGACAGGGTGTTCTGGACCAAGATGGTGAACTTCTCATCCACAAGTCCTCTGGACGGCTGAACAGATAGCTTCACACAACACTGCTTCCTTCAGTCTCCTCCCACAGTAACATCACTCTGTGTGTTTAAAGAGCCACTCCACACTTGATCTTATGCAGGACAAGTATCAGTAAAATGGCCTCTCTAGGTTGAAAAGTATCTTCCGACCTCACCTAACAGCAGCATCCACATCCAGCAGGATGTGATTAGGTGCTGTCGGTTGTAATTGTTATTTTTCAAAAGCCCTGAAAACATATTTAGGCAAGATTATATTGTACAGGTAATTTCCATGATAAAAAAAAAACCATTAGCTCAGTTTTTTTCATTCAAAAACTGAAAAGATTATCATCACGTAGATAAACATACATGCAAAATACTGAACTTCTACGCACAAGATGTCCTAAAAACTTGTTTGCACTAGAAAATAACTGTTTGCACAAGGTAATAACACGGCCTAATAACTTGTTCCCACAAGACAACAATGGATGTCTTGTGCAAATGTGGATGTCAAGTTGTGAAAAGGTAGGTTTTCAGCCTGCCGAGGAAGATGGCCATTTATCCACTTAGGGGAACCAGTTTGAGGGCTCTGGTTTGTGCATGCTCACCCACTGACATGGCTCACTATAGGACCTAGCTGGGTTAGTTTAGCTCTGTTCATGGGGTGATAGCACTGCATGTGGTGGTGTTTTGTCCATCTGGTGTGGTTTAGTTAATTGGAAGACTCGGCGCATCCTTTTCTGATGTTGATAAGTGTATCTCTGTCATAGGCTGCCAGCATATAACTAACAATTGCTTTCTACTAGCTCAAAGTGATGCAAGGCTGGGGCCATTACAATCTATAATGTTCCTATATTTTATGTGGATCATTGACTCCATGATCCTGACAAGCTTACTGTTTGCAAATCACGCCAATGACTGGCTGTGGCTTGGCTGCATGGCAGGGGCTGGTGTTGGTTGCTTTGTGGCGTTAGCCGATGGGTCCAGGGTTCCTACTCTTTTCTAGAAATCATTTACCCGGTTTTTCCAGGATATTTGCAGTGATGATCTAGCTGGTATGAAAGACAGGGATCATGTCATACACTACTATGTTCCTCTCTACGCAAGTGTTATTTTAAAGAAGTGTCAGTCTTTGGGCTATAACTAATCTATGAAATCATCTCCATGCATAGAAATGATGACAAATTGATCTTGCCTTGTTTTAATGCTGTTATGATTGATTTTTTTGTATTTCCATTGTATTTTAGTTTCTTTTGGAAAGCCCTTTGTGTTCTACGCCTGGCAATTGCTTTTCTTATGAATTATATTTTAACCACTGCAAAATACACTGTTGTCAAGTGAGCCCACCTGACCGCAGTGTATTTAGCCGGTGTTTGATGCACCTACAGCTGGGCCCCCATTCTTTCTCCTTATTCATTCTTATCCAACTTTCTCAACAATACCCAACATTTTGAAACCATTGCTCTTAGAGTTTAAACACAAACCTTACACATTTGCAGGCAAATTAATCCGTTTAAAACAAGTTTAGCTGAAAACCTTACACTATAAGCCTAATAAAAACTAACACAGGGGGGTATAACTTGATGATAATAATTTTTTACATAACGCAAATCTCCCGTTCCACCACATCCCAAAGGTGCTCTATTGGATTGAGATCTGGTGACTGTGGAGGCCGTTGGAGTTCACTGAACATTGTCATGTTCAAGAAGCCAGTTTGAGATGATTTGAGTTTTGTGAAATGGTGCATTATCCTGCTGGAAGTAGCCATCAGAAGATGGGTACACTGTGGTCATAAAGGGATGGACATGGTCAGCAACAAAACTCAACGATGCTCAATTGGTACTATGGGGCCCAAGGTGTGCCAAGAAGATATCGCCCACACCATTACACCCCCACCTGCCTGAACTGTTGATACAAGACAGGATGGATCAATGCTTTCATGTTGTTTATGACAATTTCTGACCCTACCATCTGAATGTTGCAGGTGTAATCGAGACTCAACAGACCAGGCAACATTTTTCAAATCTTCTATTGTCCAATTTTGGTGCGAATTGTAGCCTTAGTTTTCGGAAATTTTTCTGAAATACTCAGACCAGCTCATCTTGCACCAACAACCATGCTATGTTCAAAGTCACTTAAATCCCCTTTCTTCCACATTCTGATGTTTGGTTTAAACCTGCTGCCATGTGATTGGCTGATTAGCTATTTGTGTTAATAAGCAATTGAACAGGTGTACCTAATAAAGTGTAGATAGTAATGTTATTCTAAATATGATGTAATTTATTTTCCAACATTCTGTGTGCTTTTCAATGCTCAGTCTCCTCTGTATGTTACATCACTGTTTTGGCTGATACCCACGATGATGCTTCAAGCCTACGAGCATGAGCAGCAGGATTCTGACTACAGTTTAGTTAATGGTGTCAGGGTTTTCTGAAAGTTACACATAGAACCTTTAAGAATTATTCCTAAAAATCTCTTCATATCTGCTATTCAGAGACATAGAGTCCATCATGCATGCTGTCCTTTCCTCATTTTTAGATTGCTTTACTGGTCTTAACTGGAATGAATTAAAAACAATTCACAAATCTGTACAAAATGCAGCAGCAACTACGAACAATACCAAGAAAAAAGATCATATCACTTTTGATGTTTTGACAACCAGTTTATAAAAGAATCAACATTACGATTTTATTACTTTAAAAGCACTTCATTTCCCGGCCCCAGGCAACATCTCTATATTACTGTGTCAAGTCAAGGCAGTTTAGATAGCCCAATATGACGGATCACAAATTTGCCTCAAGGGGCTTGGTTACAGGTGGGAAAATAAAGCTGCACCAGGGTTTGTGCCGCCATACAGATTCTCCCTCAGAAATACAAGCGTCTTCCTCCAGGCGTCTTCCTGAGCACGAGAATGTGCCACCGTCTCTCCGCCCCACAGAGCCATAACTGGAAAGACAACAGGAAACTGAAATGTCAAAAGCCTTAATTTTGGAGAGTTCCTGTCACAGCTTACCGATCTGAAGTTGAACCTACTCTTCTCACGTGTGGAGACTGATCTGAAGGAGCTGGCTCGGGCGTGTGGGATGTATGGAGGTTCAATCAGATGACCTGTGTTCGGGTACGACAGGACAGTCAGCAGGTGGCTATTGCCCGCCCTTTCCATCATCTCCATAATCTGGAAAACAGGAAGAAAAAAAATATAATCTCATATTTGTCAAATGGTTTCATGATGTGTTTCCCTTTTTTAATTTGCACTCTTTGGATACGATTTGGAATTAATGTATTTCTAATATCGTTTTTGTTGCTGTCATCTCAGAACTGAAAGGAGTCTTTGCAGAACAGACACTAAATTTCAAGACCAAAAGTCTTTAAAAAATTATCAGATTTTCAAAAGTCTTAAAAAATGATCTTTGAAATTATGGAAATAAATTCAAACCTGTCTTCAATCTGGAAAACATCCTTTAAAAATGGATAATTACTGTATCATGGTTTGGGGATTTTGTTCCATGTCTTGTGTTTCTTCTATTCTGCCTTGTTTATTCTTGTGACACTTTTATGTTTGGTCTAGTTCTGTTTTTTAGTTCTGTGTCTTCTTAGTTTTGGTTACTAGTTTGTTGTTTCCCGTTTAGGTTTCACATGTGTTCTGTTTCTTCCATCCAGGTCTGTTGTCATTTGTTCTGGTTTTAGTCCACTTGTTTGTCTGTTTTGTCCGTGTCCTCATCTGTTTCTGCATTTTAGGGTGCTTCTCAAGTCTCTTATTTGTCGTTTCCTCGTTCCTCACTTGAACCTGAAGTTGGTCCGTTCTGGCATCTAACAAAGTTATCAGCCCTGTTAAAATTTAACATTTAACATGAATTACAGATGCACCTAGCTAAGCAAGCTAGCTAGCTCCACACAAGGCCGTTGGCGCCACAGTCCAAATATGGTCACGTCCGGTGCCACTGGTTGCAAAAACCTTAACGTTGCGGCGCCCTATCGGCCAAGCTTGAGGCTTCAAAACGGCAGTCCACAAACAAACGGGTGACGTCACGATGACTACATCCCATTCTTATATACAGTCTATGTGATCGACGCCCCCTTATTGAGTTGCTGTTATATTGATTGGACACTGCAGCTGATCGGTAATCAATAAGAAAATATTAAATTCAATCAACATTGATGAGATTTTATCATGCAAATCCGCATATAGAAATATTCAAATGTATGTGCAATTATTAATGGAAACAATTCACATTAAATGTATTGCAACAGTAGGATGTTAAAATACTACAAAACTATTTAGGGGACAATGAACGCATTGCTGTAATACATGTAGGGGAGACCGGGTATGGTTGTAACACTTTTTGCTTCAGCAACGATACCTCACTGAATTTTGTAGCTAGAGTTCTCAAACTTTTATACAAAGTACCCACATTTGTTCACTACAAATGGCACCAATTCAAACCTCTACAAGAATTTCACAGATCTCGTGAGTTGAGGTCAAATGCATTGTCTTCCATTGTTACCACCTACCCCAATACCGGGGTAGATTATAACACATACTGGGATAAGTTGTAACAATAAGACAAAAGAAGCAAAAATAGATGCCACACTATATGATAAAAAAAACACAATGTGTCTCTCTCACTGTAACAGTAATAATAATTAATAGTAATAATTAATTAATGACGTACAACGGCAGAGACGCCGTAATTCTGGTAGCTGCATAGCTGCGCCAACAAAAAGTCTCATGGCTCAGTGTGTTTGTCTGACTCGGATCGTCACTGATTAATCAGCCCACCTACGAGGCTCACCTGTCAAACACCAACGCAGCGTCACTGATCGCTGAATAGTTTTTTTAGATTGCTGGATTACGGGGTGTCACAGAGTGCAGGCTTGGTGGGCCCAGACTGCAAAGGGCACTCTGTAAAATATTAAAATCAAGAAAGTCCCTAGTTTTATGTATAGTGTATGGTTGTGACACTTTTTAAAGATGTGTTACAACCCAAGCCTCTCCTATCAGCCAATGTTTAGCTAGCTGTTTTAGCATAGTAGTTTGAAATGAGAAAGGGAAAAAATGCACCACATGTTGCCTAAAAAACTACATTTCAATCTAATATAAGTCAAACAATTTTACCTGCAAAAGTATAAATACTAAGCAAAAAATAGTCTTGCTGAAAAAAATTTATTTTTCTCTATATATTCTGAATGTACCTGTTTCCAGACTTGATCACTAGCATGACTGATTGGGGAGGAAGCAAGTAAATACTGAAATGATCACATAACTTCTATCTCTAATTGGTGGAATTGGTGTTGTTACAACTCTCCCCATGTTACAACCATGCCCGGTCTCCCCTACTGTGAATTTCCCCCTATCAAACAGGTCCTCCATGTGTTGCTGAACACACGGTATAAGTGGGTTTAACAGAGGATACTCACAGGTTTGCAGCACTCCTCCTTGTTTACAAGGCCTGACCAGACATAACTTACATAAGGAATATCTCAATCCGCCCACACAGTCAAGCAGTCAGTAACGAGTTTGTGTTTTGCATCTGAAAATGTGGTTGCAGTTCTGAGAGTTTGTTGTATTGATGAGCTCTTCTGAGCCGTCTTCGATATGACGCCGTGTGTCTGTGGAGGAGCCGCTGAGCAGCGCCTCCCTCGCTGAAACACAGACACAGAGTGGACCGAAGCAGCATCGGTAAACACCAGAACAACAATGGGGTGGGCCGCCCCCCCAAATCAATAGTAGGGGTAACACTGCACAGGATGTTGTCGTGTCAGTAAACTCACGTCCTGTGCAGACTCATAGGCGGGCCACATCTGATCGTCCTCACCAACAACCAGCAACAGTGGACACTGGAGTCGTCCCACCTGCTCAGAGACAAACAGTAGCAACATTTCAGCTTTTATCACCGGCTGCAGATTCAAACATTTTTGCATCACTGACGTCTCCTGTGTAATAATTTATGTGTGTATCAAATAGCGGCCGTAGCACCTCAGCTGCAGAGTGCAGCAGGCCTTTATTTCTAAATCTCTCTGTTTGGTTAAAATATATTTGGTCATATTTTAATATGAAGCATTCTTGTTTTCTGATCTGCCCCAGTTTACTATTTGTTGCTGCATTAAGGTAGGTTAATGCAAACTTCCTGTATCCATTTCAAGTCCCTTCATTTTCTAACAAGCCTTTTTAGTGGGAAACATTTTCAGGAGGTGCTGTGGAAACTTCAGTCACTGGCATAGTTCCCACATGGTGCTTTACATGTAGCCATCACCATCTTGTGGCACTTGTATGCTACTACAAAATACAGTTTGGCAAAGACATTAAAACACATATAGTTGAAAAAAACTCAATAACACGTTAGATGAGTAACCAAAGCTACAAAACCTGACTGTATTGTTGTCAAACTGTCAACAATACAGTATTAAAGTAAAGAATGCAAATGTACATTATGCTTAGTTGGCATGCACATCATGACAGACACCTGGAGTTTTTCCACCCTTGTTTTTACCCCGTCCATTTCCTTTCATAATGTTTTTCTTTTCCTATTTTTGTCTTTACCTACACTGTATTGGTTTTATACACGCTAGTAGCTGCAATGTTCCAGGTTTGATTCTTAAAAAACAAAAGACACAATTACAAAACTGAACAACTGTATAAGAAAAATACAGAAATTCTGGCTGGTGGTACTCACATCCACTTTGAGCATGGGGTCGGTGGGAATGGGCAGCAGCACATCTCGCCAGATCTGGTTCTCCTCATTGATGCAAATCTTCTCAGCGTTTCTATTTGGCCAAAAAATAATAATAATAATTCTTCAACTTCCCAAATTCTGACTAATGAATCAGACTTGAATTATCGGTTATTAAAATATCCGTGTAGACAACACCTGAGTTTTGAACAAAAAGTAAAGTAAAGTAAATGACGGCAGATCAACTTACTCATTAAAGTAAGTCATCATCTGTTCCACAGAGCTGTCAATCGGCTGCACATGACTCCCACTGATACACACAGCACACCTGAGCTGGAAGACCGCGCACACACACACACACACACACACACACACACACACACACACACACACACACACACACACACACACTTATAGAGGTTTACGCAGGTTTAAATGAGACAGAAACCTGATAAGGGACAAATAAGTTCGGTTCAATTAACAGTTTGAGAAGCTTGTGATCACTGCATGTTCAGCTTGTAGTATACTGTGTTCATTGTCTTTGGATTAAACTGTTAACTCCTGGGAGATGGCCAATCAGAATGTACTTCCTAAAGTGCTATAAAACGTTTACATTGCTGAACAGAGGAGGAGGCATATCCTCTGGCTGATGTAGGTATCATCTCCATATTCTACAATATATATGCTGTATTTTATTCTTCAACTCAGCAGTGTTTGTGTAGGCTATTATTTATTAAATGTCTCAGTGCTTGCAGACAATTTCTACGATAATCTGATCTTCAGAGCTTGATGAGCAGCCATAACACTGAGCAGAAATACTAGACATTCAACATACTGAACAGTGTTAGAAATGCCGCTGTCACAGGGAGACATTTCAGACTGAAATCAAGAATTTTCAATGGAATCAAAGCGACTTGCAGAGCCAAAGTAAATTGTCCCAGATCTTTGTATGTAGTCAGTTTTGGTGGCAAATATCTTACTACCTTAATTAAACTAACAGAGCGACTTTAAGCTACCTCAAGATGGTGAAAGTAACTTTTAGCTGTTGTTGTCTTACCTTTATAACTTGAGAATATGCAGCCATTTTTAAGGTGATACTGGTGCCAAAGGAAAGACCCATCATGGCAATCCTGCTGCCGAGGACCTGAGGATGCTGCTCCAGGACTCTATAAGCCGTCTGCAGCAAGAGAACATGTCAGAAAAGAAACAGCTGTAACACAGAGGCTTGGAACATTTTGTGGAACAGGAAGATAAGAAATGATAAGCTTCAGTTTGCATGGAGTTTCATCCTTTAGATTGCGATCACTATTTTAGAGGATAAATCATTGTGAGAATTCACAAAAACAAACGTGCTGGTTCTTTTATCTAATATCCAGTATGTTGTATAGATCACAAAGTCCTGTAAGGCAAGATTGTAAATTGTGAGTTTTTAACTTTGCTTGACAATAGCAGCTGTCTGTGTTTAGAGATGAGTCAAAAACCTCTGCTGCCTGCAGGCAATCAAAACTGATGCTGCTGCCAGGCTGTTAACTTAGGTAACAGTTATGATTATATTACACAATTGAGGTTAATTTTTGATTTTAAGATTTTACATATAAAAAAGCACTAGAGTGTCAATCCCTATGCTGCATTTTTTTATAATGATCTGATAATAATAAAGTATAATTGTAGTAAAAATAATACATCAGGTTTACATCAGGTTACACTGACAAAAACTGTCTGTCTGTGTCAAACTCTGAATGACATTTCCTCCACTTATCTTTAATTTCAACATTTGAGCAGTCTGTGAATGAGTGTCCCTGTAAAGGTGAATAAACCTCTGAACCCGGTTTATTGACACATAAACAGACACACAGATAAGAGAGACACATCCTGGTATCTGCAGCCAAGATTTTTTTAAATACATGGAGTATGAAAATCGCACTTAATAATCTGAGCCCCGACCTCAGGGAGCCCCAATTTTCCCAAAACTTCTGTATGTTTTGCTAGGAATCTTTGGACCTAAAGTGCAATTTATGTTTTATTATTTAAAGTTATAGATAGTAGTATATTGTATTTAGATTAAGGCTTCACATATAACTGAGACGCGCCTCCTCAAACATGTAAATATTTTTGGCTATGGAGGTGCAGACAAGATAAGAACTGTGATTGGCTACTTGTGTTTTCTCCTAAAGGTTTCTAATGCTAGTGGAGATTGTTGATAGTCAAGAAAACATCAAGGAAGACCAAAGACTAAACAATTAGCTTCAGATTTAGTTGGGGTTTTACTATTTTTCAAGAAACATTTGTTTCAATTTTTTTTTAATTTGTCATCCTCGAGACACTAAATAAAATTGTCATTCTTCAAAAATTTGTTTATAAGTTAATTGACAAAACAATCGGCAGATTAATCAATAAAGACCTAGACTCAATAGTCTTCTTTTAATTTTAATTTCACTTTGAAAGAAACAGAAAACAGAAAATATCTTTGCACATCTATAACATGAGACATCGTGCGGGGGAGGGGGATGAGGAGGTCAAAAAGTAGGTCAAACAGATACTCCCAAAAAAATAAAGTATGACTCCCTCTTCACAGCTGTTTTCACTACTTCTCTAGGATTTAAAGGCAGGGTAGGCAAGATGTTTCTAAAACGCTATTTGACATATTTGTTGAAACTGTCTTTGTACACCAATATATATTAAAAAGTTAGGTGCTCTGAAAAAGAGAGTATAAAAATCGTCTGTCTGTAGTCCTCTCAGTGCTGCAGTAAACACTCCTTTCATTCGGACCGAATGCAATGATTGGCTGGCTGACTGTCACTCTCCCTCACTGCCATGGCTACCAGCCCTGCTGCTACAGGAGCTGCACACTTGCACACGTGCAGCTCTCTCCGGTCAGATTGGAGGTAATGTCAACGTGGCTTTTCAATGACGGTGACAACTGAGGTACCCCAAGTGGCTGAAGTTACGCCGTGGTCGCTTCATTTCTGCTGGACAGGTAATCTGGCTTTTTTCATTTTGATGGTAATTTGTTACTTTCATCGGTAGCCAATGTAGCTACCTACTTAGCAAACAGCTAATGGCAGCTACGAGTGCAGGCTGGTGGAGCGAACCAGAGTAGAGATGATGAATTATATGTAACGTTAACTGTAGCTGAGTTGGAAAACAGCAGTGCAGCTGAGAGCTGTGTTTGCCGACGCTAACGTTAGATAAGACAGTGTAGGTGTAGACTGCGACGTTTAATTATTCACCACCAGGGTTCTAAATTAAAATTCATTTTGGCGGGTGTTAATAAAAACTTACTAGCCAGTTTGGCCGGTGACGCATGAGGCATTACATGCATGATAAATAAGTTTCTGTTCTTGGTCACCCTGGCAGTACTTCCTACATTTCCCATGAACCTTGTGCCGTAATGCTACATGATGACGTTTCATACGCCCCTTGGCTGCGTGCAGTTTGCAGTGAAACCAGCGTGAGAAACCATGGAAACGAACGGAGCGTCCACCAGAAAACACAAGGAAGAATAAGAGCGAATGGCGCCAGAGCAGGGAGCATAGACTGAAAGAGGAGGGAGTTAGCTAGTAAAGTAAAAAGTTGAGATTAAAATAAATGCGGTGGTAGTTGGGACAGACTTCTGGGGGCGAGAAGAGGAACGAGCCAGGGGATGAGGACAGAGAAACGAAGAAAAGAAAATTTAATGCCAAATGGCTGAATGGCTTGTGTTTGATCATGAAAATGTCGTCATGTTTTGTCAGGATTGCCGCATGTACGCGAAAGAACTGTGGTGGGAACGAATAACTTTAAAGTCGAGGCAGTAAAGGACCATGAGTGTCCCCGAAGTCATCAGGAGAGCCTAAGGATTAAAACTGCCAAGACAGGTCGTATTGAAGAGAGCCTTGCTGGGAGAAGCCTCGCTTTATTGAAGACGTCCGACTTTGCATGGATGTGTGAGTAAGTGAATTAACGTTACTATTTACATGTTTCAGAAACAGTGCATTTAATACGATTCAGAGTGCTTCCATAGACACAGATGAAACTTTACGTTTGGGGGTTTCAAAAAAACGAAATCTCACTGAAATGTACTGTGTTGTAGGCGCTAACAGTGGCTTCATTTACACAAAAATTAATTTCTGGGTGGACAGGAAGAAAGGCTTGAAGATAGGAGAGACGTACACAAATGACTACCAGGCAAAAGAGTTCATACACTACATAGCATGCCAACAATGTTAATAAAATGATCAAATGCATTCAGTGGCACTTTCTTATTTTCACCGGAAAAAAATTTGGCTAGTGGAAATTCTGATCACATTGGCTGGTGATCAAAAAAGTTACTTTAAAACCCTGCTCACCACCTAGGGTCATTGTTATACTAAGATGATCTTGTGTCTGCGAGCGTTGTTTGACTGTATGTTAGTCTGTTATATCTTTGAACAAGATATTTTTTACAAATGTGGTGATGTAGCTGTGTTGAAAGACATTACACAACGTTAGTGTACATAAACAACGCTGGCAAAAAGTCCCCTAGTATCTGCATTTCTGTTGTATAAGCTACTTATTACATAGTTTGACATTGTTCATAGCTAAACCTACTGGGTGAAACCCTTTTACTGGTGCAGTTATGCCATTACTTATTTTACTAGAAGTAAAAAATACTGTCTGTTTTATTTCTACTGTGCCCTCGGGTCACCTGCAGATTTGGAGTCTTTCATAGCCCTGTGCTTCTCACCAGTATACGCTGATTGGACCATGCTGGCTGGCCTGGATTACAACCACCGTGTCCACAGACCAGCCAGGAGAAAAGCTGATGACACAATTCAGTATGTTGCATTTTTATTACTCCTGTGCATTTTACTGATGAGTCAAAACAATTTTACAGTATGAGAAATACAGATAGATGGTGTTGATTTATTGTTGATTGTATTTTATGTGCTAATGCTAATTACATTAAAAAATGTCAGGTATTGCAAATATTTCACTAAGCTGATCCTCCTTTTTGTATTATCAGGTACAACAAGGTGTACAACAAAAAAGTCCAGGAAGTGGAGCTTGTACTCACTGAAGGTGGAGAAGGACTTCAGTTACATCGCAGACCTCCACAGTGCCATCCTCCTCCTCCTCCTCCTCCAACGGTTGTCTACTACTGAGGAGCTGCTTAGAAGCAGAACCAGGAGACCTGATGATCCCCATTAACATGGGGTTCAGTCAGGTGTCTCTGCCCCAACTGTGTTGCAGAGGTGATTGTGATATATTTAATCATCTCCACAGCAGCGATACGAGTAAAGTCTGAACTGTCTTCATGATCAGTCAAGACACGTCTGGACACACCTTGTGTCTTCCTCTATATACATATTTCTAATGATGTTTAAAAAGTATATTTGTGATATAGGTTGTAGTTTTAGTAGTATATAATAATAAACAAGTGTTGTACCATATTTGGATGTCAGTATTGGAGACATAAGACATAAATGTAGTTGTTTTGCTGCAAGTGTAAAGAAAAGGCATTTATCATTTTCAATGTTTTATTTAAAAAAGAATGAAAATATCCAGAATAGGGAAAATATACTTTCTATTTTTTCTACCCTCCTGGGAATAAAACAAAAATATAATAATACAGGTATTCATCCACACAGTGGATGGAATTATTTGTGTTATTACATCTTCCACCCTGCTAGGTTTAAACCTCTGTATTGTCCTGGTGGATCAGGATAACAGTTGCATATCTTCCAGAAACAGCAACTCAGTATCACGACTCTGTGTCTAAGTGCGCCACACTGCCACACTACAAACTGTCTGTACGTTGCCTGACTGAACTGTCTGTTACTCTGTCCTGGGTCTGGAAGATCAGACATGTGTGGTGCATGGAAACACAGGAGTCTGGATGTTGTCCACCATCCTCAGATTCTGGCCTGTAAAGGAATATATAGTTGTTAGAACCCCAAATTGGAAAGACTGGTGTAATAGGCCAAAGCATTAATTAACTTGATCAGATATTTTTATTGAACAGAGGTTTGTTGTTCTCTAGCAGGACTTCTGTGTCCACGTTACACAGCAGGTCAATGTACATAAATAATGTACACAATGTACATGAGCCAATGGCTGAAGCAGAGCTGTAGTTAGTAGTTGAAACAATAACAAGTAAACAATAAAAAGTGTGTGTGTGTGTGTGTGTGTGTGTGTGTGTGTGTGTGTGTGTGTGTGTGGTTAGAACTGTCGCTTCACAGCAAGAAGGTCGTGGGTTCAAACCCCGGTTTCCCCGGCCTTTCTGTGTGGAGCGTGCATGTTCTCCCCGTGTCCGCGTGGGTTCTCTCCAGGTGCTCCGGCTTCCTCCCACCGTCCAAAGACATGCAGGCTAGGTTAATTGGTGTCTCTCCAATTGTCCTTAGGTGTGAGTGTATTTTTTAATATTAGGAAATCCAGTCCATCGCAGGGCCACACACAGACAAACAACCAGTCACACTCACACCTTTCAGCTGGGATTGGCTCCAGCCCCCCGCGACCCTGTACGCAGGATAAGCGGTTGACAAAGGATGGATGGATATATATACATATACCTGTTGTTGGAGTGTGAAGCTCGATGCAGGTCCTAGAAGATGTGCTCCTCGGCTTGCACCTCGTCCTCTCTGTCCTGCCTCCTCTTCCTCGGACCCTGGCAGCCCTCCCTCCTCTGCTTCGCCTCGACCCCGGGCCTGTCCCGGTCTGTGCTTGGCTCTGAGGTGCAGTCCTCATCAGTGACAATAATGCTGTCAATGTGGAAGCTCCAAAATGCAAAACCACGTACATGTTATGAGTCTAACACGAAATTCACGTTGGTGTAGTGTAAGTGATGGTAATGAGAAAATGCGTATTTGAGTATAAAATCTGTTTTTAGCTTTGCCCAATGTTACCGCAGCTGTTAGCACAGCTACCTGTTGCTAACAGTTAGCTAGCCAGCTCGTTACTGAATCAAAGTCAGTCTTTTTAAACCTATCCAATATTAACATGCTAGCTAGATAGTGATAACTAACAGCTGGGTTAGTTGTTTATTTTCATAATGATAAAGTTAGATGTTTTCTTACCTCTGATGTGCTGCTCATCACACTGTGCTCGTCCTCCAGCGGTGTCGGCAACGCGCGCTCACGTGTTTTAGGGGCGTGGCTTTGGAAGGAGCACAGAAGGGAGGGGGTGGGAGTTTCTCTGTTGGATATTTTTCAAATCCAGCAGTTTCTGGCTAGTTTCTCAAACTTACCTACACTGCCTTTAACTGTCCCATCAAAAGCTTTACATAACTCTAATTAAAGGTTTTACTGCTGGTGATTTGTACATGCATGTCTGCATACAGGATGCAGTTCACTATTTGCTTCTCAAATAAATTGCCCTTCATGATGGGAATAATAAAGTCTGTATCTCTAGATGTCATTTAACGGCCATAATTCGATCTAAATGAACGTATCAAACTGAATTATTTTAATATAGTCTGTAACTTACATGCAGGTTGAGGTAAACTGCTGTCCAGCATCCAGTACAGACAGGAAGGTGTTTTTTTATTTTATTTATTTCATAATGATCATTATGTGAGAAAATAATTTGCGTTTGAAAATATTTCATTGTCTTTTTTTGTTATGGTAAAAAGAGCAAGAGAGAGAGAGAAATCCCCACAGACTCACAGACTAAAGGCTACCCACCTGTCTTGGGTAAAAACTGGGTTCCAGATTGACATGCTTTCCTTTATCTTTCCTCTCACTCTTTTGTCTTTTTCCTTTTTTTGAAAACCAGATTTTGGTTTTTATTTACTGTATTTCTGCCGCATCTAAACACCGTCACAGATGTGTGCGCTAAGGCAGGACTAAACCATTTCATGCAGATACAGGGGGGTGGTCGGTCAATATGGAGCTTTACTTTTTTGTCAATGGTGATTTTTAACTTTTATTGCCAAAAACAAAGAGATCATTCATTTTATTATTATATTTGAAACATATTTATTCTCAATGATGATGGTTTATATAATGTATAATATAACTTGATATTAGTTTATAATTATTTTTTTTATGTTTAACTTGCAAAAACAAATTTAAATGCTGGCAACTTCATCAGGGAAATTGTGTTACATACTGAGAAGCCAGGTGACTTGTTAGTCTGCACCAATCACATCAATATTACAGAACATTCATTCACATTTCCATTCCTATGAATGGTTGATTAACTCATTCATCTGTGTGTAGGCTATGTCTGTTATTTATCTATTTTTAATACTATCTTTTTCATGTTCTCTTTCTTGCCGAAACACGTATTACCTCTGACATGAGTACAGTCATTGGAAGAGGGTTTTTGGATTAAAGAGCAGCAGACCACGATCCAACCGGCCCAAACAACCGGACTGTGTTTTACATCGATGATGCTTGGTGCTCAAACGCAGTCAGGATGGACTCTTTTTCCCAAATGTCAGACTGTTTATTGTGAAGATGAAACTTTCATGTTATCATCTGGTTGCAAATTAAAAAAATGCAATGTGGAAGGTTTGGGCTGGACTCATTGCAGGACTTTAGCTGTGAAGATGACTGAGAAACAGCCACCGAGGGAAAAGTATGAGGAATTGTGAGATAACTTATATGACCAGGCGAGGGGTTTCAGTGCTGGATAAATCTACGAGATTTGAAAGGAGTAAAAACCGATACTGAGGTTGGTCTGTTTCTGCTGGACAGGTGAGTAAAGTTAGCTTTGCTGTTTCACATAAATGACAGCTTCAGTATTACAGTGTTGTCTGTCTGTAATATATGTAAATATATGTAAAATGTAAATAACTCTAGTTTTTTACTCATATTGTTCGTTTGATGTTTGTTCACTAACTGTAACTATTGATGTTCCTCTCGTTGTGCTGTGCTGTGTTTGTGGAACAGTACACACACTGATGCTCGGCATGAATGATGGATAAATAAAGTTCTTTGAATTTAATTGAATACTATATATGGAGCTTAAGCTTAAATGAAAATATCTCTATATCAGCAATAATATATCTTCCCAGAAAGATCTATAATTGATGGGTGTAGATTACTGTATACTGAATGCAAACAAAAAAAAATATATAAAATGCATTGAGAGACAGAAATGTTCTCAAATCTTGCTGTTTATCAATAGATAAATAAAGGATGCATCATAACGAACACAACGTGTTTCAAAAGATTTTTCATACTTCAATTTCATACATCAATCTATGTGTTAAATAACAATTCAATGTATAGAAAAATAGAAAAAGTCAACACCATATTACTTACAAACCTCCACACTATTATGCAACTACAAAAACAAACATTAGGGCTTCAAAAGTTTAGAATGGATAAGCAGCTGTTAGCTAATGTTTTAATGTAGAGAGTTGTGGAGTTCTGCTGCTCCCTAATGGACATAACTACAGTTATTGGGGTATAAGATTGATTAGATGTTTGCAGTTTAGACATTCATCAGGTTTACCTCAAAGTACTGGTTGTCCGCCATCTTCCCAGTTTCCATGGTGATTTTAGGTGTCAGGTAGTCGAGGGCCAGGGAGGCGAATCCATGTGAGGCCAGCAGCGCTGCACGGTACTCCACCAACTTCCCTCCACCCCCCCACAAGTCCAGGAGGCCCGGGAAAGGTCCTGGTCCTTCAAAACACCAAAAACTGTTTACAGTTTACACAACAATGATATTGGACATTTCTGACGTTCCTGCAACTCTGCGCTTTATTCGATAGAACCTTTTTGAGTATTTCCTGCCTTCATTTTTCGCTTGGTCATTCCACAGTACCATTAAGTCGCAACTACTTTGTGCTGAACTTGTTTACCTTTCATGCTTAATGGTAGTCTATTGGTCAGTGTTGCTCAGAATGTCACACCTGAGCAGGACACCTCCCTCCAGGCTCCTTTCTAGTCCTACCTGAGGGTAGGAAGAGGGTCGCAGTGAGACTGCCTTCTCTGATGGGGATTCTGCAGACGCCGGGCGCCATGTACCAGCGCTCCACCACCACACTGGCCAGCGGCACCTGATCCATAAAGCCCTCAGTCTGGTGACCCTGGTACACTGAGATTCTGACCTCCATGGGAGTCTGGACGTTCACCTTCCTCAACCTGAGTGATGATGGGAAAGAGTTGACTCTGATAATGATAATTTATTTGGTATTGATTAGGGCTGAACGATATGGCCAAAAATGCTATCACGATAAAAAGTTTCATATCTTTAGATATATATAATTATCACAATAAGTATCAAATTGTTATTTCTTTCGAGTTTAAAGGGTGATTTTTGTTTCTAAGTGAGTTAGTTGAAGAAACCTGATGGTTAATTGTGGTTTAAACTCTTCTTTATGGGCAACACTTGAGGCCAAACAGTGGATAACTTCACAAATCTGAGGTAGAACATTCAAAACAATTAGAATAAAATCTTTGTCAACAAATATAGATGAGTAAACATAAGTAAAAAAGTCCTTTTTCCTCAACAAAATAAACATCTTAATAAAAAATAATTCCTAATAGTGTATGTTTCAAGTAAAATAAAAAATAAAACGAAGGTTAAAATCAAGGGCAACTGGACTTGGTTGAAGATACTGGAAGACGTTTCGTCCCTCATCCAAAGGACTTCAATGACGGCTTCTCAACCCTGGTGTAGATGGCTTCCTTGACACCTCTTTCAAACCATCCATCTTCTCAGAGTTCCATCCATCTTCTCAGAGAAGATGGATGGAACAGACTTACAACATTTACAATGCTGTCCTTTCATCACTTCCCAGGAAACTCAACAAACGTAACCTATTGGCCTCAGGTGAAGATACCAACGATGGTCGTTCAGTCTTGGCCACAGGTAGTCTTAACGACTGTAACGACTGTCGTCACAGCAACAAGGAACACTAACGAACCAGCGGTATCGATGACCCGGGATAACGACCCCACTGAGGTTAAATAGCTGAGTTTCCCTGCCAGTCAGTCAGAACTGAAGAAGTCCTTTGGATGAGGGACGAAACGTCTTCCAGTATCTTCAACCAAGTCCAGTTGCCCTTGATTTTAACCTTCGTTGGATAACTATGACCTGGATGACTGAGAATCTTCATAGACATTTGTTGTATTGTTTTTGAAAAAAAATAAATCGCGATAATTATTGTTATTGTTTTATTGTCCAGCCCTAGTATTGATTAACATCATCTGAACAGCTCTGTCCTCTTTGGCATACCTGAGTCTCTGATTGCTGCCTGGGGCGGGTCTAAGGCTCCACAGTAGACCCATCGGTTCTGCCCCAGAATATGTCCCGCCCAGACTGGGATCCTCTGAAACTGTAAAGTGAAGCCATTAAAAATGAGACAAGCATCCACAAACGCTGTTGATACAAACATTACTAAATTAATTTCACTAGATTTTCTAGGTCCAGGAAATAAACTATGTACTGTTTACAGTCCCCGTGGTGTTGGCAGTGTAGTGACCAAACGCCTCCCAGGTGTGGCCATCTTCACAATGATGGAGGGCGTGGACGGTCAGCTGGAAACCACATCTGATGTTCTGGACCATGACAATGAACTTCTCATCCACGAGCCCTCTGGACGGCTGGACCAGCAGATTAACACAAAACTGCTTCCTGTCCATCTTGAACTGAGCAGACAGATAAAATAAATAAAGACAGATGCCACTATGTCAAAATGAAGAAAAGTGAAAAGTAATAAACCACAACTACATGACTGAGAGGACTGATACCACTAGAGGTAAGACAAGAAACATTTCTCTCCTAATAATGGAAGATGGTGATTAATGTGATGGCATTTCATGTTTGCTGAAATTCCTAAAACCAGTGTCAGACAATTTAAAGAGTTTGTAAATAGAAAAAGAAACTGAAAAGAGAAAATCGTTGAACAGACTGGACAACATATACAGATTGGTTAAAGGAAGAACTTCAGTACCACCGCTACCACAGACTGCAACGCAACAGCTGTTCAACTTCAAAAACTAGATCAAGAAAATAGGCAGCCAATTCAATTCAACAACAATTACCTCAATGCTCTTTTCAAATGGAGCTGATCTAGACCGTACTCTTTGTGATATTATTTACAAAGACCTAACAATTCCCACCATGAGCAAGCACTTGGCGACACAGGCAAGGAAAAATGTTTTAGACTTTTAAGACGCAGAAACCTTTTTGGGGGGCTCGTGATCACTGCAAATGGGAAAAAGTAAAAAGCCTTCTCGCCAAAAACACATTTTAAGCAATTCAGAGCCATCCCAAAATTAGAGACAAAGAAACAAGTAAATGAACCTTTTGGGGATGATAGTGGTTGAGCAAATTATGTGAACATTTAGGCACCATGGGCAGAAACTGCGTACGGCTTGAAAGGCTTGAAAAAGTTTGGGTTAATGTACTGCGGCAAGCGTGTTGACTCATTTCCGTTTCCGGTGCTTGTGTGTCGGTACCGTGTTTTGCTGCTCTCGCTAAATAGCAGTTAAAATTGTTAGATTTGACATTATAGCGGCCAACTGTCCGCTAAACCCTTACTCTTACAGTAATTCTGCATAAGCACTCACAGTAAGATTGGTATTCACGTCGGCGGTAATGACTCCCGGTTTCAGGAGTTACTTAGTGAAAACCCTATAGTGACGGTGTCTGTCCCATCGAAATTATTTAAATCAAAGGTAAACTGAAGAGGAGCTGTGCATAAAAACCTCATAAAAATTAAAACCACAAGAGCAATAGTGCAAACGAATAGGAGAGTTAAATGTGGACTCTTAAACATTAGATCTCTCTCTTCTAAAGGTGTACTAGTAAATGAACTAATATCAGATTATGATATTGATTTATTTTGTCTTACTGAAACCTGGCTGGGTGATGGAGAATATGTTAGCCTAAATGAATCCACCCCTCCCAGTCATATTAATACTCACATTCCTCGAGGCACAGGCCGAGGAGATGGAGTTGCAGCTATCTTCAACTCTAGCCTACTAATCAGCTCTAAACCTAAACTAAACTATAACTCATTTGAAAGCCTTGTTCTTGGTCTTTCGCACCCAAGTTGGAAATCACTGCAACCACTTCTCTTCGTTATAATGTACCGAGCACCTGGCCCGTATTCTGAATTCTTATCTGAATTTGCAGAGTTTTTGTCAACTTTAGTTCTTAAAACGGACAAAGTTATTATTGTAGGGGATTTTTTAGAGGAAAATAGGAACAACCCCAGGTTTCTTTTCAGCATTGTAGCCAGGCTGACAGAGAGTCACAGCTCTATTGAGCCAAGTATTCCCATAGCTCTCAGTAGTTACGACTTCATGAGCTTCTTTAATGATAAAATTCTAGCAATTAGAGACAAAATTCACCAAGACCTGCCCTCAACTGGCACCAACTTATCTCTTAACTCTTAGAAACAGCTGTAAAACCAGATATATGTTTAGACTGTTTTGCTTCCCTCAATCTTTACCAACTAACTTCAATACTTTCTTCATCTAAACCATCAACCTGCCTCTTAGACCCCATCCCGACTAGGTTGCTTAAAGATGTTTTACCCTCAGTCAGCACCTCTATACTAGATATGATCAACCTATCTTTATCAACAGGCTATGTACCACAGTACTTTAAAGTAGCTGTAATTAAACCTCTTCTGAAAAAGCCCAAACTTGATCCAGATGTTTTAGCCAACTATAGACCTATATCTAACCTTCCATTTCTCTCTAAGGTTCTGGAGAAAGCAGTTGCTAAACAGCTGTGTGACTTTCTACAGAGCAATAGTTTATTTGAGGATTTTCAGTCAGGATTTATTGCTCATCATAGCACAGAGACAGCACTGGTGAAATGACCTAATCGCATCAGACAAAGGACTTGTCTGATGCAATTCAGACAGATTTCAGTTTGTACATGTTGTTAGATCCCAAGTTACCTCTGTTCAGGAGGTACTGGACCAGCTCTCCGTCTTAGGGCTTAGGCCTATGGGTATTACCTTATTACGTATAACTAAGGACTGTTTAAGCTGGTGTCAAAGAGATTCGCCTAGCTTCTAACTGTCTTCTTCCGAACGCCTACCCTACTTACCCTGAAATGGCACCTGACTGAATAGCCCTAGAGCCAAAAATCACCTCAGCCACGCCTGTTAACGACAGCTCTCTTCTCATTGATCAGTGCACTTGGTATAGTTGCTAGGGTTGTATTTAGTGGCCAGGAAAATAGGCCCCAAGGATAAGTTAATTTCGTTGGCTAGAACAACCTATAAGAACCTTAGAGATGTTAAACATACTTATACTTACTACCTATTGAATTATTACCTTAGTGAAGAAATAAATCCAATGTCTACTACTGGTACTTTAAATGCAGTGATTATATATTTAATTGCAAAATTAAGCAAGGGCAAGCATACAACTTAAACTGATTAATATTAAATGATAAAATATCTAAAATTCAAAACCTGATTATGATAGCTGAGCTTGAGTGTTTTGATATCTTTGAAAATCCTTCCTCCTCTGCTGAGCTGTAGTGTCTTGAAGAAACTTGAGGCTTTGTCCAAAGCCCTCAAATTGTCCCTAAAGTCTTAAGACCTGGTTGCAGCTGAGAGAGAGAAAACCACAGAGTCCGATGAATCATTGGACTCTGTGGTTTTCACCACCCATTTCCTGTCTATGTGACTACTACTACTACTATGTGACTACTGTCACATAGATTGTTCATCCGTAAGTTGGTCCAAAGATGGCCTTATTTGGCCCCTTGCTGACCCTTCTCTCCCAATGACTCATAGTCATAAGACCGTTACACCCATCTCATTATTTATTTTACAATCAGAAGATCAATTCAATTTATTCCTCTTCAATATCAATAAGATATCCTGATTTTCAATCAACATCATATCGTGTTTATATCAAATATCTTTCTTTCAATCATTATTCAATATATTGCTTATAGCGTTGTTAAGCTCTGTGTTTTGCAGATGGAAGTACGTTGCACTTCCCCTTTCTCACTCACTGTTGTTACTAAAGGAAGAAAGGCTCCAGTTTTCTTCTTTGCAACCTAATAGCCAGAGCGTTGGGATCTCAACTTATTTGACAATGTTAACGATGAGTCCTCCATGCACGCCAAAGTTAGTCATGGAGTTCCACAAGGATCTGTGCTCGGACCAATCCTGTACACTTTATATATGCTTCCTTTAGGCAATATTATCAGGAAACACTCCATAAACTTTCATTGTTATGCAGACGATACTCTACTTATATCTATCGATCAAGCCAGATGAAACTCATCAGTTAGCTAAACTTTGTTTAAATTTATTAAAGTTATTGTTCTGGGGCCCGGGCACCTCCGTGATGCATTATCTAAAGATATAGTCTCCCTGGATATCATCGCCAAACTGCCTGAGAGCTGGGGCAGCAGCAGAAAGAGTAGTCATTGCATCACATGGTTCCACATGCAGTGTCAATGATTTTGCTTGAACAAAAAACATCTAATCTTTCTACAGCCACACATACAACACTGTGTTGTTTGATATGTCTAACATTACTGTTAAAAGATGCACTGTGCTAAATCCTGCCACTCTCCTCCCAACTCTAGATGAAGGATAGTCACATGATTGTGTTGCAGTGATAACAGAGGCCTGCTCCCCAAGGACAGATTTACAGGAGACACCTCCAACAAAAGTACAAAACAGAATTGTTTGTGGACGGATCAGCATAACGTGATCCAGCAACTGGTAAGAATCAAGGTTTTGCAGTAACAACTTTGCATGAGACAATTGTGGCAAAGCCACTAACTTGAAATAATTCTGCACAAGCAGCAGAATTATTTGCACTGACAGAAGCATTTACATATGAAAATGATAAAACTGAAAAATCTGGGTGTGACTCGTGATTTTAGAAGATTGTGGGCAAACAACATTTTTAACATGTTTATCAACAGTCAAACCTATTGCTCAGGATTTTTTATCTTTTCTTTTAACTGTATTGTAGTTTAAGTGTTTTCTTACCTTTATCATGTATCTTGTTTTTATCTTTGTTTTATTGTCTTTGCACTTGTTAAAACACGTTGTAACATGTTTTTGAAAAGTGCTCTATAAATAAAGATTATTATTATTATTATCACACACTGGTTGTTGAACTTCTTGGCGCTGTGCTGCTGCCTAAGAAAACTGTTGTGTGTAAATGTGATGCTCACACTAACAATCTTGATTCTATCTCACAGGGGACTGCCAGAGCAGAGCAGACCTTGCAGCAAAGACTGCAGCAAAACAGACATTGATCTCTCAATGTAATGTTTTAAATGACTCGTCATTGACTCCTACAGCTGATTTGCAAGAATTACAAATGAGAGCATCTCCAGAGGGGAGAGCTGTTTGGAAAATGCTGTGTGGTATGGCCCAGATGAGAAGCCATGCATGTCTAAGTATCTGTTTCCTTATAATGCTAAGTTGACACATAGTAGACCACGTATCAAAAGGGAGTATGACACAGGAACTGAACTGATACTGGTTCACAAAGGGTTTCTATAACCCCTCCCAAAGAAATTGTTAAAGTTGCAAAATGTGTGCAACTAACAATCTGAGGAGAGCTATTCAGATTCCACATGCGGCACATCCATCTCCAGATAAACCATGTGACCATCTATAAATGGATTTCATGGAACTGACATCCTAGCAAAAATCTGAGACACCATTGTGCTTCATCCTGCTAGTGGAGGTGCAGTAGTGAGAGAGAATGGCACATTTAAAAACAAACATTAAATGTTGTGAAGAAACAGGTTTTACATGGACAAAGGCTTTGCCAATTGTTTTAATGCACATCAGGGCAGAGGGGCTCTCAGTCCTTTTGAAACCCTGTTTGGCGAAACACGCCATCCCAAAGGTCGTAGAGAAGAAACTGCGTCATTTGGAGCCTGGGGACTAGATAGTGGTGGAGGAATCGCAGGTGGCACGGCCCTTATCACATACTGCTGACGACAGAAACAGCTGTGAAGGTGGCAGAAAGAGCAACTTGGATTCATGCCACCCGCTGCAAATGAGTGCCGGAGCAACCAAACAGCCTCAAACCAGGTGAAGATTGAGATCAGTGAGTGAAGTGAGCTCTCCCCTATATTGTGTTCCTAGGGCTGGGCTGAAAGACAATGTGTGGTGTTAAAGAATATTCTTAGGGGGCTTAACTGATGTAACAGGGAAAAGTAAGACAGGGACAGAGTCATTAGCTGATGCCACAAGTGTTCACTGACCTTCCAGCTGTAGTTATTTATCTCATGTAACTGTCCTTGTTAGGGAGGGAACAGTTAGACCGATAAGGTAAAGACGTAGCTCAGGCTTCAGGCTAGCAGATAGCCATGTTCTCTGGGAATCTGTCCAGGTTGAGAAGTACAAGAACTTACTGGCTCCACAGATTAGAGTACCACTTATGGATAGTAATAGATTCCAATATGACATAGCAGTGGAATCTAAACATCAGATAGATTTGGTTGATCTAGGTTTAGGCTAGATGACCTAATAGAGAAACCTACAGGGACTAGGGGAAAGACAGAAACATCAAATGGACCAAAAGATCTTATCCTTCAGATTTGGTGTTGGCATTCGATGTGTAACTCCTCGACCGGGCTCAATAAACCATGCAATGTTAAGTCTTCATCAGTCTCTGAAACTTCTTCATCACAACCGAACCTGGCTCACAATAAAAAACATGTGGTATGGCAACTACAAGGAAAGTGACAACCCTGGATTATAAAGTACAATATTTCGCTCTGAAGAGTAGTAAAGTACAAGTATCTCAAATTTGTTGCTAAGTACAGTACTTGAGTAAGTGTACTTTAGAAGTCATACAGAAGCCAGATGTTTTAGAAATTAACAGGTAACAGTGCTGTTCTATGTGGTTACATTGCAAATGTCTTTTTAACATTCATGGCCAGGACAGGTTTTATCATCCTCATACTCCACTAATTCCAGAGATGTAATAATATTAATACATAAATCTATTCCACTGCAGATTGACAATGTAACAAAGGACCTTAACGGTAGATTTTTAATCATACAGGGCCATATTCGTTCTACATGTCATAATTTAGTCAATGTATACGGACCAAATGATGACACTGCTCATTTTTACAACAATTTATTTTTGACACTTTCAACACGAACAAGCCAATATATTATTGCATGGGAATTGTGTTCTTGATCTAAGTAACGATAGGTCCTCTGGAGTGGATAACACTCACATGAAAACTAGGAAAGTAATGCATCACTTTATGAAAGAACTACACTTAATGGATGTATGGAAACACACCTGAATCCATCAAAGAAAGAATTTTCCTGTTGATCGAGCACTTACAAAAGCCACTCTAGAATAGACTACTTTTTGGTGTCAGCAGAACTTCTTTCTAATATCAAAGGCTGTCAATATAATAGTAAACTCATTTTGGATCATGCAGCTGTATCTATTGAATATGTGGAGGTAAAGTTAATAAGTAAATGTCCTTGATGGAAATTTCTAATCAAGTGGATGTGAGACAAAAAAAAATTCTGCAATTTGTGGGAGAACAAATTGATATTTACTTTGAGATTAACACATCCCAGACAATGGCCACCATTAGATAAAATGCCTTTAAAGCATTTATTAGAGGTCAAATTATCAGCTACACAAGTAGGAAAACAAAATAAGCACAGGAAATAATTAGAGATCTGGAATCCAAAATCAAAACACTTGAAAATAAGAGTTTGCAGGATGGACAAAATGAAAGTGATATCTCCAAAGAATTATTACTTCTTAGAACTCAATATAATGCAATTACATATGATAATTCTGCTGCAAACTTAATGAGACTCAAACAACAATTTTACAATCAGGGAGAAAAGCCCGGTAGACTTCTTGTATGGGGGATTAAACAACAGGAAACAGAAAGGGCAATTACTTAAACTGAAGATGCCAATGGGAATACCATATTTTAAAATGTCTATGACCATGATAAATCAGAATACACATCTGAGGTAAGTGAGAAAATCCTGGATAAACAACTAAGTGCGGCTGAAATAATAGAGGCTATAGGTGCACTAAAGGCTGGAAAAGCAGCAGGGTCTCCCACTTAGATAAACATTTTAAAGCTTGGGTTCACTTGTTCAATAGAAGTTGTAATGCATTGTACTGCACAATGACATTATTTTTTTCATAAAGATCAATGAAGACATTGTTAAAAAAACAAACTATGAATTATATAATGATTCCTTAAATTACCTGTGTCTTCAAGCACAGACCTTAGAGCAGCTGTTGTCTTCCGATTTGTCGCTTGTCAGTTGATTTTGGTCTGTATCGCCTGGTGTTAAACTCGTCAGAGTAAGGATACAAAACAGTGATTGAGGGAGTGTTGATCAAACTTTCCAACAGACCGACGGTCAGCTGAGCTTTACTGAACTGCCCGAAGTTCAGCCCACCCACAGGTGGAGCTTCAGTATCCTCAAACAACGACATCACTCTGTCTGGACACAAGATTCATTTCACTTCAGTTGAAGAGAGAGAAGCAGCCCAACATAATATTCACACAGAAATACAGTGGAACAGACAGAGAACAAATAGCAGTACTAATAATGAAAGCATTATTAATGATGATAATAATAGGAAAAATTATAATAAATTGTAGCAGCAGGTGCTGAGCAGAAACACGGGGGCAGCAGGCAGCCTGCAACCACAGATCCAGACCCCACAGAGCCAGAAACACCTGCAGACAGCAAAAGAGCGAAGATGTAAGTAAACAACAGCTCTACCCACGAGCCAAAGCCACCCTGAATCTACACCAATCTTACGCCTCTCAGTATGTGTGTTTGCTGTGAAGACTTTTTTAACTTTTCAGGCTCCAAAGAGGCTGAGGACTGCAAGTTGAAAAATGAAAAAATCTCGGTGCTTGGAGTGAGGAAGAAATTACTTTACCAGGACTCAGTAGCCATCTCTCTCGTGAAATCACCGACCCAACTGACGGCGGTTGAGTTGCATTGTGGGTGGTAGTTTGTTCTTATTGGAACCAAAAAACGAACAAATACAAATACACTGTTTTTTGTTTTCTACCAAAAATTAACAAACAGAAATGCAGAGCTGTATCCTCTGTTTTTGGTTTCTGAATCCCAAAATGAAAAACGACAAAACCACATTCAAATAATGGTCCTATTATGGTCCCTGCCAGAAAAGAGGATGGGACATTTTTTAATGAGAGCATTGTTCGTTAATATTTAAGAAATATTGCAAAACAATTGTTAATTTCTGATTTTAAGAATTACAAAATCATGCATCATGCATGATTTCATTTCGTAATGTTTAGATTACATTTACTGGTCTCATAACAAAACCAAGACAAGAGATTATATCACTCAGTTTATTACCGAATCAACACTACAATGTTCTTATTTTAAAAGCACTTAATAGCCCGGCCCCGGGCTACATCTCTGTATTACTGTCAAGGTAGTTTTTATTTACATAACCCCATATCACAGTTAAAAAATATGCCTCAAGGGGCTTTACAATCTGTATGGCATACAACATCCTCTGTCCTTAGACCCTCGATTCACATAAGAAAAACCTCCCCAAATAAACCTTTGACAGGGAAAACTGCACAAACACACAAGAGCTTAGCTCAAGAACATTATTCATACAGATAAGACAAAAGAAAAGAGACAACAGGAGAGGCAGAATCTCATGGAGGAAAAAGATCTTAATCCAAACATCTGGAATGAGGCATCAAAAGCCAGGGTAGAGACAGATGTCTCGGACGGCCAGTGGTCCAGCATACAGAAGCCTGTGTGGGCCCTGAGGAATCTTTAAGTGCTTCCCATATCAAAGTATAAGACTATAGGAAACTGAGCTTAAGCTGTTAGGGCACCTCAACTGAAACAAACTACCTCACAAAATCAGACTTGCGAAATCAATATCTTCTTTTGAAATCAATTCTGAATACATATTTTTTTATTGAAATAAGTTTTAATAATCTTATTTAAAATGGTACATTTGTCTGCATGTGTATGATATACATATGTTAGTTTTTTTCTCCTTTAAAAGCACTTTGTAATATCTGGTTTTGTTAAGTGCTATATATGTTTACTTTATTATTAGTAATAGATAGTCATCTTTTGTACTAATGATTCAACCAGGAAATGTCCAGCCATCAAGCTGTAGGAGTTTTTAATCATTAGTTGTTGCCTTGGTTACAAGTGGGAAAATGATGCTGCACCAGGGTTTGTGCCGCCATACAGATTCTCCCTCAGAAAGACCAGCGTCTTCCTCCAGGCGTCTTCCTGAGCACGAGAATGTGCCACCGTCTCTCCGCCCCACAGAGCCATAACTGGAAAGACAACAAGAAACTGAAATGTCAAAAGTCCTCATTTTGGAGAGTTCCTGTCACTGTCTACAGCTTCCTAGTGGGAAGTTGAACATACCTTTCTCACGTACGTCAACTGATCTGAAGGCGCTGACTCGGAAGTGCGGCGTGTACGGAGGTTCAATCAGATGGCCAGTGTTGGGGTACGACAGGACAGTCAGCAGATGGCTATTGCCCGCACTCTCCATCATCTTCCTAATCTGAAAAACAGGAAGAAAAATATATACTCTCATATTTGTCAAATGGATTCATGATGTCTTTTTTTTTTTTATTTGCACACTTTGGATATGATTTGAATGAATATCGTTCTCGCTACTGTCACCTCTGAACTGAAAGGAGTCTTTGCAGAACAGACACTAAATTTCCTAAATTATTCTGGGAACAAGAATTGATAGTTACTGATAGGAACTATGGGAAAAAACAATCTGACTAAGAATCCTTGGACCCGCAGAAGCTCATGAGCTAACTCATTAACTTAATGTTGTTGTAGATTGAAAATGAAGTAGGACACCACCTAAATACATACACAAAATACATCAATACACTTTTTGTATGATTGTTTTTCTCTTTAAGGTTGTGATGATAAACATTATTAAGGTTACATGATGTTTGTCTGTGACACCCCTGACATAAACACTAGAACCGCCAGGGTTCGTTGTATAGCTATAACCACCATAGCTGCTATAAAAATGCAATGATTTTGTGATTATTTCTGCTACATGTTGCTCCAACAGACTTTGGGAATCATTCAGCACCTAGGCTGTGCATTTCCTATAAACACCATCCCCATATTTCAGGCATTTACAGAATGTTTATTCTCTTTTATTCACTGTCGAAAGAAAAAATTATTATTTTATTATTTTATAAAATTTATAGTACATTTTTACCCTACGGAAAAATGTATAATGATCACTTTTACTAAAAAATACATAGCACTGGAGAAGTTATAGCCGATCAAAAGCACACGAGGGAGCCGCACGCTTTTTTGAAGAGGCCGCTGAACACACCTCTATCACAGCGAAAAACTAGACTACTGCAGCATTAGTTTTGATGATCATGTAGCAACACAAAAGCTGTAAAGAGCAGCTTTTATGCCTTTTTACTTCATACAAGTGGATCGCTCTCAGATAATGACCCGTCAGATGCAGAATCAACCTTCCCACACACATCCCTCAGCCCCCATCGTCAGACTCTCCTTCACTCACTGCGCTGCAAAAGTGTAATGCCTGTAGTGGGAAAAGCATCTAGAATATTTATCTAGATGTGCAAAATGAACTGCGCTAACATGACTGTATTCTCTATAGTAAATTTTACCCGCTGGCGCTTATCGATATAAATGTCCATTTTATAAATCTGGCTTTATCTTGACATTTTTTAACAATAGGAGGTGCTACATAACACACTTGTAGGAAAAGTCAAAGACTGGGGGATTTGAAAATTACATTGAAACAAAGATACATACAATCAAAAAACAGACGCAGGTAAATTTGACCCATTGGCGTTATTAAAAGGTTTGTGGCCAAAATGTTGCTTTTCACTAAACAGTGTATGGGAATTCATATGTTCCCAAAACATTGTTTTGCATGAGATCTCTGAAAATAACATGCCAGCAGGGACGTCACTAGGATTGAAAGAAGGGGGGGCTTAACCCCCAGGGTGTAGGTAACTTGCCCTTGCAAACTCTTTGCATCTTTTGTTAACTATACTTATATCAACAACCACTGAAGATGCCAAGATGTTAACAAATAAAAAGTGAAAGACATATTCTGTTCTTCCATTTCTCCTCTGTTGAACAAAAGCTACTATAATGTTACATGGATGTCGGAAGTAAAACAAATGTGGGCGGGTCCTCCTCCAGGATTTTATATATATATATATATATATATATATATATGTTATATATATATGTTATATATATATAGGTTATATATAGGATATATATATCTCAAGAGAACAAGATATGATGTTTTTAACACTGTTTTATAGAAATCCTCATTGCTTATTGCTTATATGCTATTTTAAAGCTGCTAAGTTCAGTGTTTTGCTCTAAACTGAATTTCATTATATTTTTTATACAATGACAATAGTGTCTCTATCATGAATCCAGAAATCTGTTATATGTGGAGGGTCTAGGTCAAAGTTTGAGCATTAAACACTTAATTTCTTGCATTCTGGTGACTTTTCCTGCACCAATTATTATTTATGCAATGGGAAACAACATTCAGGTGGCAGGTGACAATTCAGTATCTAAAACTCAACAGTCAGTGCAGCTCTCAGTCATTCTGTATTGCTTTCAAACATGTTTCTCCTGTAGATCAACTTTTTCATGTAATATCATCCCTGCTGAATCAGCACACATGCAGATGAAAAAACAATAATTTCGTCCAGTCTTTTTTTGAATCAAATTTGGCACTGGTACCACAGCTAGCTTATCTCATTGACCAGGATTCAAAGAGCTGCTAACTCTGGTTGATTAATTTGAACATAACTGTAGCTAGTTAGCCTAGCAAAAAAGTGTTATAATAACAATCAGTGTAACTATAATTCAATGCTGCAACAAAGACTACATGATGCCTTTAAAAGCATCAAGTGAACAAATGATGAACATTCACTTAAAAAGCGGCTTTGTTAGTGACAGTATGTGACACAAAGACACACCTGAGCAGCAGGTATCCTAAAATGCTTTGTTTACCTGCCTGTGTCATGGCACTGCAGCAGGCGCGAGCAGTGAAAACACAGAATGGAGTTTAACTTAAATGGACTAAATGCACTAAATGAGTGGAATGGATTTGAAGCAGCAGCAGCGTGAAAGGGACAGCTGTAGAATGGAGCTTAATTTATTAGATTTGATTTATAGATTTGATTGATGACGCTCTGAAAGGTGAACAAACAGATGCGCTGAATTACAGTAAAAGGGAGTGTGTCCAATATCATTGGTCTTAAAAACTGGGTGGGTCTCACCCACATACAATGGTTCCAACGCCCATGTACTGTAATGTT